TGCTTGCTTGCTTGCTTGCTTGCTTGCTTGCTTCCTTGTTTGGTTTCGTCTCTGCAACGAAAATACAAAAAGAGAAAGGAGAACAGCTGCCAAAAGAAAGAAAGAAAGAAAGATAGATAGATAGATAAATAGATAGGTATAGACAGATAGATGGATAGGCCAAAAAGACAAAAGCCACAGAAGCCACGAAAGCCACGAAAGCCAAAAGCCACAAAAGCCAGAAGCCACAGAAGCCAAAAGACACAAAAGCCACAAAAGCCAGAAGCCACAGAAGCTAGAAGCCAGAAGCCACGAAAAACAAAAAAAAATCCAAAAAAGAAACAAAAAAAATCAAAAAATAAATACCCCTCCGATTCTAAATGCTGTGGGGAGCCCCGGCCGCGCCTCATGTTTGGAAAATGCCTGAAGCGTTGCCAATTGAAACTTGCACAAATAGGCTCCAAGTTCCCACGTGTTCTCTGCAACGAGCTTAGCACCACAAGATTGAGCTCAACCCAACACACACCCCAGGCAAATGTATATACCAAGACGCTGAGCAAAAGGGTAAAAGAGCCACTTGGGTCCAGCCGGGATCATCCTTAGATGTGAGAATTATGTTTCTTGACCCTTGTAAAACCCGTACCCAGCCGTGTGCCGAATCGGGGATCGACAACTTCTCAACAACTCACTATATTTTTAGCTTTATATAATATATGGATGTAAATACATATATACATAGATTTTTTATATTCCATATTCAACCTCTTGGGGGTTGTCATTTTATAGCCCTAAATTGCGCCCGCCAGGGTTCTGCACTATAAAATCTAGACACCCAGGGGAGGAACATGCACCTGATGAGACATGCTGCCCCAAGGTGGCCCACTATAGAATCACCCACCCTAATATCAGGTAAAGTAGGTGGTCTAGTTCTATAGTGGACCCCCAGGGTTCCCTAATCAAGCGACGAACGGTCTCCGACGCTCTCCATGGTTTGTCAAATTCTATAGACACTATTTTGATCGGTTTTGATTTTATTGAAATGTGTGCAAGACATTTTAAGTTATATTTGCGATGTTTGCAGGAAGTTCACATAGGGAAACCTGCTGGGTGTGGGGGCCCTTACATAGATGGCAGGCACCTGAGGACCTTTGGAACCCTGATTCTATAGATGGCCAGCAAACGCCAGCAGAATGTGTTGGGGGTTCAGATTCTCTTTCACTATGGTTGGCTTCCCATGTGTTCTATGTTTATCTATATATGTTTAAGATTCCATGGATGATTCTCCATAGAATCAAAACACACAAATAATTCTCTATACTATCAAATGGTCTCTGTCAAATCAAGCTACCCAAGGTTACAGTACATTCTTCGAGTATAAGAGTAAAAACCGTGGTTTCTATAGAATGTCCACCCTCAGGGGTGGTCATTCTATAGAAAACCACAGGACGTTTTTTTCTATAGAATGCACTCTATAGATGGACCCTCGAGGGTCGATGGTTTATAGGGGAAACCTGACGGCCCCCAGTTGGACACTGCATGAATCAGGGCCAACAACCAGAAACCTGCCACCTTTCAGCCCGCTTGCGCCGAGTCGCGGCCATGCGGACTAAATCGTCAAAGAATCTGAATGTATACAGCTGCCAACAGCTGAAGCTACAGTATCTACATTTCATACTGAAAATGCTCAAATCTCTTTGAACATCTGAACGCGTCTCGGGATTGATCATGGAGTTGTGGGTTGCCTGGGCCGTCTCCTGCCGGTTCCTTGACTGCCTCATGTCTTGCCAAGGGGCACGTGCGGACATTTCGCCAGATTTCCTTGGAAGCATGCCAAGGTGTGAAGGTTGGGACACAATTTTGAAGTGATTGCCCATGCACCCAGTCGGGCACAAGCAACAAGACTGGGTGGCTAGCGGCTAAAGTGCCTAGCACAACCCTTGCCAGCGAAGTGACCTGAGGAACACACATGGTGCCCCCAGCTGATGATCCAAGCTTCATGGAAGGTAGCCAAGTGAGGTTGAAGCCATCATGCGCAGTGGTTAGCACGAAGAAGCGGCTCCCCTCCAAGCGCACCTCAGCCTCACTGAAGCCCACAGCCACACACTGCTCAATGCCTCAGGTCAGCCAGGTTTCTTTCGGTATGAGCTGACGGACGGCAGGTGAAGTCTGCATCAGATCTTCATGGGTTCACTCGATTCACTGGAAGGCCTTCAGAGAAATTCGTGAGAAGCCTACCTACCTGGAAGCAGAACCCATGATTCTCATCTCTTTCACGCCGTGTGACGCGTGGAGGGCGGCACCCCCCGACCAAAGCCTGGCATGCGGGAAGTGACTAGGCCTGGGCTTCGATGGACATGGACACCGCTTCGATGGTTCAGAGTTCATGAGCCACCCACTTGCTGACTGAACCTGCTCACTACTACATGAGATTCACTGATTGCTTAAGAGGGATCGGTCAGTATCTAAAGACATGTTCTTGACAAAGCTCCAGGCCATACCGTTCACTGCCAACCTCACATTCGAGTTGGTTACTTCTCTGCAATCACCACAGTCCCTACTACTTAGGATGCAGCGGGTAAAATGTCTGGACGCGCAAACTCGTGCCCAGGCCGTACCATTCGCAGGTGGGCATCCACACAAACCACCCAACTGCGGATCTACCAGCTACCATCATCCACCTAACAACGCCATATAACATTATATAATTACTCCTTGAAGTGCGCTGAAGTCGCTGATGTCATTTGTTTGATTTTTGCTATGAAACGAGTCTATCTAATCTGCAGTAATTCAAACCTTCAAATCTGCCAAAGCTGAGCTCGCATGCACTGAGTCTCCGGGCCTTCCCCCATGGGTCCAGCCACTAAGCCACGGAGTCCCACGGAACGTTGGAGGCTGGTGATGACCCTTGGCAGTCACTGGATAGGGCCCGAACGCGGATGCCAGGTGGAGACCTACAGTGGAGACGGTGATCCTTCCGAACCAAAGCGGACCGACAGCAACCGCTGGCCGCTAGCCGCTAGCTGCTGGCTGGCAGTCTTGGAACATCATGACATATCGTGACACATGCCCTGCACGAAACAACCCATTACTCAGCATGGCAGGTATCAAATGTTCATCCTGTCAAATCACAAACTTCATCAATTTTCTCTTCTTGACCCCACTGGCCCTCCCTCAGCCCTCCACCCCCCAAAAAGCAGCCAAGAAAGTACATAAATGAAAAACATAGCCATGTCCTATACCCTCCACATAGGTCCGCACCAGTCCACACCCCACTCTCTCCCCCCACTCACCCGCCACCCCATCTCCGTCTCGACGCCTGGAGTCGGCGCCCACCTCCTCCTCCGGGACGCCGTCGCTCTCCGAGGCCTCGGTGTCCGAGGCCTCGAAGCGCAGCACGTCCAGCAGATCCTGAGGCGGTCGACGGGTCTCGGTCTGGGCGGGTCTCGGTCATGTGACGAGGCGGCACCGGGGCTTCTGCATGGTTGATTAGAAGGAGGAAGTGAACCAGGGTGCAGATGGGTCCAGGGGGCTCAGTGTGGAGAAGGTGGAACCCAACAATGCTTTATATATATATATATATATAAAAAAAAAATATATATATATATATGTATCTTACCACGCTCAAATCCCTCCAAACGTACATGGTACATGCTGCCTTTTTGTGCGTCTTGCCCCTGTCCTGTGCCTGTCCTCTCTGCGCTCGGCCCTTCCGTTCCGTGGCCGGACGTGGAATCGAGGGCGGCTCCGCCCATCGGGTCCTCACGCTACGGAGGGGTGGAGGCGAAAGTGAAGAAGCTGAAGACTCGGCATGGCCATCCCTGGCTTCGTTACTAGTAGCTTCTAGCTACTAGTGGCCTCCAACCTAGCGATGGCCTCCTCGCAATCTTCCATTTTCTTGCCCCAAATGCAGGACAATTCCTGAGTAAAACCCTGTACATGGCTGGCATGCGGTATGGGTTTGATGAGCTTGTTTTGATCTAGTTGGCTTTCGTGAAAGGAAGGAAAAAGAACGGGTATATAGGGGTTTTGCACTTCAGTTGCGCAGTAGATGATCATGATGTTGTTTGACAGCTTGGATTGTAATCATCCATCACCCGAAGCAGCTGAATCAACCCAAACTCCGCTCCTTGCGCTCAAGGGGATACGCCGTGCATGAAGAGGCGCTGGCCGACATGGCATGGGGCAACCCAAAAAGAATGACGGTAAAGCTGCTACGTGGCCTTCAGAGTCGCGTGCTTGGGAGCAAAAGCATCATGAAGAACGTGATCGATTGCTGAGCAAGGTCCTTGGATGTCAATGCTTGACCTTAGCTCAATGACTTGGTGTGAGGGAGAATCTACAGAAACCCTTGCTTTCACTCCCGCCGGCCCACACCATGGGTTTCGATTGTTGGGTCAGTCATGGCAACTTTAGAGGGCCCAGGTCTGGGGCAGCTTGTGCATCCAAGGACGGGCAATACGTCGAGATTGTCTCTCTTTGAACAGGCTGATGCTGGCGTATCACATGCCTTGCCTCCAAGAAGCTCAAGAAGCCAAGCTAGCTGGTTGGATCTGAGCTCCCTTGTGACTGACTGGTGGCAACATAAACTTGCTGGTCTGTTTGGGTGAGATTCTTGAACATGCGGCCGCGGTAGACACGAATGCTGCCTGCACGAGCCAAAAAGGGTTTGTCTTTAGATCGTTTACGAAAACCCCCCTAGCTGGTCCCACGCCCTAGCTGGGTCTCCAAGCTCTACGTGAAATTCCAATCCTGGACCCCAAACAACTCCTCAAAGCCATCGCTCAACACCACGTCACCACGCGCCAGTCACGTTTTTTTCTTCCCAGGCCGCCTTTGGATGCCGCCTTCGAATACCGAAGGCCTGCCTTCGGTGGTCGTCCATCAGTCCACCGCCCCGGGAGTGAACCATAGCTGCCATGCCGGTTTGGGTGGGAGCACGGTGGATGTCTAACAAAGGATGTAGGAGCATCATTGGACGCAAAAAACCTGCCAAGGTTACTGGCAAGGATTGCAACACGATTTGGGGGAGCAATCCTCCATACCGAGACCGATACCCCCAAAAAGTCACTTGGCCTTCGAAACCGCCCTGAGCGCTCAAGTCCTCAATTATTTAACCACTGACCTCCTGACATGGCAGTGATTCAGCCAACAACCACACCAGCATAGACCCCAAACAAGATCATGCGACAAAGATTTGGCAAACAGTGGGACACAACAATGCGACCGTTTGAGGGGTGAGAGCCCTTTGGCCCTTGAACCCATCCTTGGCGATCAGTTTTGTTCTTGCCATTAGCAGTGGCACGTTCGCCACGGTCAAGACTCAAGACTCTTCCTGAAGTGTGACTGCCTGGGAAGCAGGGGCGCCACAAAATGGCGGTTTCAAGCCAGTTGGAAGGAAGGAGTGAGGAAAGCAATTTGATCTGTTCGTCTCCATTGGGGTCGGCAACCTCCTTGACCGAGGCCCTCCAAATAAGTATATATATAAGACTCTATAACCCGTGGGATGGCAAAGATGGAGCAAGCCCTTGCCAGTGGATCTCTCTCAACTGATTCAATGCAAAAAGGATCTTGTCAATCTTGTCCTTTTGGATGGCTGACCTGACCTCGCAGGGCCGATGGGTTTCCCCGATGGGTTTCGGGCGCCAACTCCGCCCGTTTTTGGACAGTTGCAAGGCAACGAGCACCCGATGTCCACATAAGCATGGAACGATGGGACCCGGCTTCCAGCAAAACAATTGCAAGCAAGCCACATATTTCCGAGAAGCCTCATCGAAGTCCACTTGCATCACCCCCCGCTCAGCGGGCAACATGGACTCCTCAACGGTCGGCATTTCCATCAATTGCAGTGGACTTGGCTGGCTCAAGCACATGGGATTCTAGCAAATACCTGATCTCAGGCGCTGTGCTTGCGCCAGCCCATCACGTGAGCAACTGTGACAATCGAAAGCCTAAGGATTTGGACCATCTTGGACCTGTGAGACTGAATATTGCAATTCCGCACTCAAAATGTGAGCAACCGAGCATGCTCAAAAGCTAGATGTCTTGAACTTTGGTTTTAGCTCCTGCAGAATGGCACGTCTCCAACCAATATGGAACACAGAACACGGACCGTTTGTGCCACTTTGGGGATTGTTGTGCCTAGCTTGGGGGCACGACACTTTCGAAGAGCTATTCTCTCAAGTCTGGCCAAACATCTCCAACCCAAAGAGGACCAGGCTGAGCAGGTCTATTGTTACCAGTAACAAGTGCATCGCTACTAGTAACAAGAAGGCTACTAGGAACCAGTGTACTTCTACCAGTAGCAAGTGCACTAGTAACAAGAAGCTGCTAGTGATGGCGCTCTCTCATACAACAGAATTCGAAGCTCGTCTGGCCTGCGCAGCCGCTACAAACGCGCGCGCCAAGGTGGCCAAGCGGGAGTCCTGAGCATCACCGGGTTGACAAAAGTCGCAATTCCATTTGTGGCTACTAGTCATGCCCTCAGCTACTAGTCCCTGTTGCTAGTAGCTTCTTGCTACTAGTAATGCCCTTGTTACCAGTAGCGATGCCCTTCGTGCTGCGCCAGGATGTCCCCCTGTCATCTGTCCAGCTCACTCTCTCCTCATCACCCTGCTGGACTGCCTGGCACGCTCAGAAACTGCTTGAGCGCTAGCCAGTATATAAGTCTCACGAAAACGATGTGTGTGTGTGTTTATCAGAACGGGCGAATTCCAACTGGCACTATCAGAAGTCCCTATCATTTCAACAGTCCATAGTGATTTGTACACCGCCTCCTGCACAACCATCCTGCAGCCAACCACGCCTGCTGCAGGGCCTTGTAAGTGGTCTTGGCCTGCAAGTCTCTCAGGGCCTGCAAGCCAGCAACAAGATTCCGGACAACTGCCAGGCGGAAGCTGGCGCTGTGGCCCGTGGCTGCAGATCTTTGTCGAAATAATGGGCTCATCCACAACTTCTGAGGATGTCTTTTTCATGACAACTCCATCCAGCCTATAGAGGAGGAATCCTATCAATACTTAATTTACCATATATCATTTACCATACCTGACACACCCTGTAGGCCTGCTTCAGGATCGGGTGAAATTCGCCCTTCAAGACCTCCTCCGGATGAAACCACCGGGACTCCGCATACTCCTGCGCCGCTCACGCCGCTCCGCCGCTGGTGAGCGCGGGTTTGTCCAGAGCCGCTCGAAGCAGTCCTTCTCGTCAATCTGCACGGCCGCCTCCTGCGTCACAAACACTAAGAGGAACACACCAGGCTGGCCCTGCAGAACCAACCCTGGAGACTAGGGAATCGCCGTTTTGGAGGGTGGGGAAGTACACGCATGAAATCACATGAGAAAACTCTTCGGTGCTCATATAGGCCACAGCAAAAAGCTGAAGGAGATGTATGATGCTTGTTCAGTTTAGGACTTTAGGATTTGTCGTTTGGCGTGCTGTCTCCAACAATTTTGCACATAGCCTGCACGTTCAACAACAGTTGAACCACAAAGAGACCCCACAAACCAAAGAGGGATGCTTAAAATGTCACAACAACATGCACCCTTGCCCGAACCCGGCCTCCTCGGGCTGGATGACCAAGTGGTGCACAGTGCTAATATCCTGATTGCCGATAGCTTCCAAAGCACTAGCAGTATTAATTAGCCCAGCTGGAGACCCCAATAGCAAGATACAAACCGGGACAAAAAGAAAAATCTGGAAACAGCTGCTGTTTTCAACACATCGACCATCTCTTCCTTGGACACCATCATCACATAACCGGGACACCATCACAAAATGACCAGGGCACCATCAAAACATGACCGAGACACCGTCACAACATGATTGGGACACCATCACAACATAACCGGGACACCATCACAAGGTGACCGGGACACCAGCATGACATGACGGGGACACCATCACAACATGACCGGGACACTATCACAACATGACCGGGACACCGTCACATGACCGGGACACCATCAAAACATAACCGGCACACCGCCAAAACATGACCAGGACACCATCACAACATAACCGGGACACCATCAAAACATGACCGGGACACCGTCACAACATAAGCGAGACACCATCACAACATGACTGGGACACCGTCACAACATGACTGGGACACAATCACAACATGACCGGGACACCATCACAAGATGACCAGGACACAATCACAACATGACTGGGACACCGTCACATGACCCGGACACCATCACAACATGACCGGGACACCATCAAAACATGACCGGGACACCATCAAAACAGGACCGGGACACCATCAAAACATGACCGGGACACCAGCATCACATGACCCGGACGCCATCAAAACATGACCGGGACACCATCCGCACCAGCTCTGACGGTGACCCGACGGCGCCCGTCCGCCTATTAGTTTTGCAAGACCCCATAGCATGGCTATTGGGGAACTAAGCCCATGGAGAATTCCTCAACCATGCATTGATGCCTGGATCATGACAAAGCACCACGGGCAGTCTTATCTCAACAAAAATGCACTTCAGTGACCGAGTTGCTACCTATGCATGTGGCTGCGATGATGTTTTTGAGGATTCCAGGAGGCCCTGCCGCGGTCCCGTGCTCAGCGGGAGGCTGCTCGCGCATGGCCCAGATCATGGAATAGCTTCCAATGACCTGCCGACCAGGGCGTCAAAGTATGATGGATGTCCAAGTGCCAAGTGCGCCAACAAAATGACATGGCCTGGGGGGCTCTGGTTTCAACGAGTGCTGGCAGGGGATGGGATCTCCCGCTACTGTGCTACTAAGGTTTCCACGCAACCCTTGCACTATTTGGCTGCGTGCCTGTTCCCCCTTGAGTGAGATGGCAGGTAATAGGGATAATGGAAGACTGACCGACCAGTGTATGTCAGGCATGGTTTGCACCAAACTGAGGGTAATGCTGTATTTGCCAAGACTGCTTCACAAAACCACTCACCCGTCTTGATGTGACTGATTGGTGTGAAAGACACTCAGAGTCAGAGGTCTAGCGCACAACATACCGCTTTTTCCTCAGCTCCGAGGTTCAGGCTGTCATGCTCGCGGGCCTCACTTGATGAGCTTCCGAATGATCCCTTTGACCTTCGGCACCGGCTTCTTCCGGTTCGGGTTCCGCGGGTAGGGCGCGGCCGCCCGCTTCATCCTCACATCCAGTCGGACGTTGAACTCCCGCGGCCGGAGGTAGTCGCACCAGCTGCCGAGGACCTCCGCAGCAGGTCCCGCCGGTCCCGCCGCCAGGGGCGCCTGAAAGTGGGTCGGTCCCAGCGGTGCGAGGGGCGCCAAGCGCAGCGGTTGAGGCATCAGCTGCTCCGCCGCGGTCAAGGCATGGCAGGCGCCCTGCCGTAGCTGGCTGAGCGATCTCCAGAAGGCCATCGGGTGCTGGCGCTCGAATGGATGCAGCTGCGGGCTGGCGGGGGTGGAGTGCAACCCCCCCTACGAGTCTGGATGGAAATCAACTGGAAGAAGTTGCAGCGTTTCCCACTGCAGCCCCCTGCAGCCGAGGTTAGTTTCTTGACTGAGCAACAACCGAGCAAGATCTGACCCACATCCACCCATTTACAGTATTATGGAACGATATCCTATAGCCCTGCAAAGAACACAGCGATGTTGAAATTTGAATCATTCATTTCAACCACCGTCCCAACATGCCTTAAACTACTTGGAAAAAATCATGTGCCTCACTCTCCACGTTGAAGAATCGATCGAACATGGAACTTTCAACCTCCTACCAGGTCCAGGATCAAACGTCTGCCTCTTCACAGGGGAAAACACAAGCTCTACTGTATATCGCTGCTATATCGCCTCTACCTATCCATTTCGACCCCTGTCCACCGCCTCAAAGCGCGCGGGCGCCAGCTGCAATCCCAACTCCCGCCGCATCACACGCGCGGCCGCCTGGAGGCCGAAGACGAGTGGCAAGATGTCAAAGGGCAGTCGCAACCCTACAGAAATATGGCAAATACCATCGGTAGAATGAAAAGATATAAATAATCTCATAACATGATAATGCATTATATTATAGCATTCTTGTTTTATTATTATCATTTGTCTTTCATTATATCAAGTTACGATGCATTGTTTGCCCCAAGAGGTGACAGGTGATGTTTCTGTGTTGAGTTTTGTTCTTTCTCCGCTTCGAAGCACGGCCACTTGCAGCTTCCAAAACATCTTGAAAATTCGGATACGTGCCTACCTACCACACCTTCATTCACACCTCGTTCCAGAATACTGCAACGACCCAAGTGTGGGAAGGTTTGACTCGCACACCGCACTACTTTAACGCCTCAAGCTTTCAGCTCGCTCAAAGGCACAAGCACGCCTGCCTGCTGCGGGATCTCACCAGGCTTGGCACGTCCACCCATGTACCACCTGATCATCCAGCCGCGAGGAATTGCTTTGCTGAGGCTCTTGGAGCTGCTTCAAGCTGACAATGGTGTTGGTGCTGCAACAAGGTAGGTAGGGGATGTGCAATCTGCAGCGAAACCTATGCAGTCCTTGAAAGGTACTGATTCATGCGCTCTTGCTGTTGACTTCGCCCCCACTCCACTTCTCAGGTTGAGGCCAATCTGGTTGAGGGTGCACCTGATGCAGACACTGTGTTCTAAGGGCCCACTTCCGATTTGAGAATTCCGTAGAATTCCATTGAGTCCAGTCACATCCATGCAATGCAAACAGACTTCTTCAAGAAAAGGTATCGGGATGTGGCGTAGATGAACACTCATGTCAGTTCTGGCAGCTGTTCGTGGGCCCCTCGGCACTCACCACAACTGCATCCCAACTGCACTTGTTTCGGGCTTATGGCTTATCCCCAAAAAAATCCCCCAGCTTCTCCTCCCAAAAACCCCGGTGCCTTCCGCCTCCCCAAGAAGATGCGGCCGCCGTCCGGCGAGGTGATGAGGACGTCCGACCTGCGGAGGCCCGGACCGGGTTTAGGGTGACCCCGGTCTGAGTGTAACGTCCGAGAAGGAACAGGGGCTTAAACGATAGCAAAGAGTCTTTTGCAAAAATCCTTTTGAGTGCTTAGGGGTCGCATGCAAAGGCATCGTTCAAATGCAAAGGCCTGCCAAGGCTCTTGATATCCTTGATTTGGCTTGATCTAGGACCTCACACCATCCAAAAGTCAAGCTTCCTTAGACTCCGCACACAGCTTTCACTAAGGCATCCAGTGCTCTCCCATATTCCGCGTCCTGCACATCGTGGGCTTGGATGCTGAGCAAATCACTACTCCAGCTTCTGATGGACTGCCCAGTTCAAGGGGCCTAGGACCTAGGAAGTGAGGTCACCCCGACCAATCAAGGGAGTCCCAAATAGGCGGGCTCCACATCCCCACATCAAGTAATAGCTTCCTGCGACTAGTGGCGATGCACCTTGCTTCTTGATTCTTGTTCCTAGTCCTAGTCAAGCCACCCTTTTTGTCAATCATTCATCCATCCATTCTTTCACGTCTTTTGACAGGGGTGAGGGCCTCAATCAACGCCTCGATCAACGCCATGTCCCTCCTCCAAGAAGAGCGAGTTCGGCTTGAAGGGCCCCGTGATGAAGCGTGGCACATGGATCATGGATGCTACGTGTGCCGGCCAGCGTGGCCGGTTGACCACATGTCATCTGCTTCACACTCTCCGTCCCTCTCTCTCTCTCTCGCGCGCACCATGTCGCGCATGTGCAGTCCGTTTCTCTGTTTTGCTGACGCATCTGACTGACAACCCCTCCAAAACAAAACCGCGGTTCAAAGTGCAAAGGGTGTGGATATGCAAGTGGATGCACATAGGAAAGAGAGAGAAAGGCAAGGAGGCATCGATGACATTTACTTCAATGTGGGAGCACAAGCTGTGAAGCTATGCGAGATGGTTCCAACTTGCCGAAATGTTGCTGCAAAACTGACTTGACAAATGGCCACAGCTCTGATTGACTGAGTGAGCGCACAGCTCTGGAACCCTTGGCCGGCACATTTTGGCATAACGATCCCCGGAAAAAACCGGACCCAACAGTTCTGTGCTGTTTCTTCCTACTCTCCCACAGCACCACCGGAAATGTAAGCATCGTCGTATCAGATCATACCAGATTCTGATACTCCAGGTAGAATTCATGACTTGCAACAACCGCCTGCGTGCGCTTTGTCCTAGACCCACGCAAATCGCCAGGCACCATGCAACGCATCACGCTGGCGTGACAAAACAGGCAGCTCCCAGCTGGAAACAGTCGACTGCCGGGCCGGGCACCGGCGTCACACCCTTCCCACATTCAGTATATAATTAATTCCTGTAAGCTTGGCTTGGTCGAAGAGTTGTGCAAATCCCATCAAGAACATTAAACATGGCACTTGCGGAATCTTCTTGTGCATTCAGTTCTTGCAATGACTTTCTAGCAATGTGTCGCCAACATGTTCAAAGGGCCGGGCCGCCAACAAGTGCAGGTTGCGCACTTGGAACTAGTGGACAATCTATATACGATATGGAAAGCCTTTTGCTTCCAGCAACTCATTGATACCTGCCATCCCACATGCATCTACAGCGCCTGCCGCAAGAGCAACTCTTGACTGTCAGGATGGTTGGGTTTTCCGCTGAGCTGCATGGTTGAGGAAAGAATTCCAAAATAGGAGTAGGCTCCAAACACCAGAAGAAATGGTTTACACGTCACGGCACGATCAAAATTTAATAGGTTATATATATATATATGTGTGTGTGTGAATTGTAAACTTTCGCCACATGAAGAGTCAATTCCCTTGCCACTCCTTGCACACCATGTTTGGCCTTTTCTACTTGAAAGAACCTTACGTCGACCTTTAACTTCAATAGATCATCACAGTCCCGAGAAGGCTTTGCCCCAGCTTCCTTTCCTGACAATCGGCCTCACTTACTTCTTTACTCCAATCTTCGCTTTGGACTTTTCCGTCTGCAGTGGCTTGAAGACGTACTCAATGAGGGACTCCTTGGTTTTAGGGCCAAAGTCCAAATCAGCATCACTGTCATCGTTCTTGCATCAGGGAAAGGGCCCAGTTTCCTCTTGTCAATCCAGAGTTCGGGAACTTGGAGACTTTCGGCCGTGGCCGAGAGGCGGCAGAACAGAATTTGCATCCAACATGGCTGGGGATCTCCACACCACAAGTGAACGTCCAACATATATATATATATATTTTTATTTATCCGACAAGGAACAAACGGGTGTGCTGGGATGTTCGCTGAACATTGTTGTTTGTGCGCTGTGTTTGGGCCCACATGCACCGCGAATGGCTGCAAAGGGCCTCATTACAAACCTCTGAAAGTCTTGCCACAGGCACTCGAATCGGCAGCATTCCAGGGAACTCCTGCAAAGACACAAACGGACAGCAAGCAAAGTTCACTGGTCACAGCTCTCTAAACCTGCAAAACCTCGGCTCGGCTCACGCAAAAAGAAAAGGTCCTTCCACATCTTGTGTGGGCTCAACTCATTGTTGGAGCGTGCCGCCGTGATGACTTTGGCCTGCTCCTCGATGGTGAAGTTCGCCCACTTGAAGTCTGGATCGATGTAGTCCTCCCCAACCCCACCATCCCACGGCGGCTGCACGGCAGTCCATATGTCCAAAAATTAATTTACTAATATAACTGGTGTACATATATACATCTATACATACATGATAGTGTATGTGCATGCATCTTCCATCATCTTTCCAGGCCATGTTTCAAGGGCTTAAATGCCCGAATCTCTTTGGAAGCTCCACATGAATCAATGAGTACTCTCATCCATGCTGAAATGAACGCCTCACCTCAGGGGGGCACCTGCTTTGATCCTTTTGGCAGAATACTCCGCCACAGTGCCCGTGGAAACCTGTGACATTTCCCGAACACCTAAAACCAGATGCACCCGGCCCATGGACGCTCCCTGTAGAGCTCCAAGACTTGATTGTGGCTGATCGCGCCCGGGTTGCAGAAGTTGTAGATCCCAGTCTCAAGTTCGACTGAAATTTGAAACTGGCTATCCATCCACCCATTCATTCATCCAGCCATCCATCTATCCATCATGGTTTTTCTCTCCAAGAACTGCCCGCCCTAGTGACGTGCCAATCATCAATGAAGCTGCCAACACGGAAACTAAAAGGAAAGGAAAGATCGTTCTGTTCTCCTACACCTTCTCATCTGAGCGTCTTTCATGATTCAGGCCCTTTGACTGCCCAGGTGCTAATCTGCGCAGGGCCATCTCAACAGCATAGGGCAAGAGCTCCGGCAGCACGGTCATGCTGTTGGGGATGTTAACCACCTCGTCAAAGCACCGCGGAAAAAATGGAGGGCGCTAAGCCCTTCCAAGTGGGGGGCCCTTGCCAACTGGGACTGAAGCTTTATTGCCGCCTTAGACTCAAATGCCAGCATCTGTCCATATACCCCAAGCTCACTTGGTCATGACCCCACGATTCCGTGCCGTCATGCATGCATGTGCTTGAGCCTTGTTGTAGTGAGAGATCTTGTAGATAAAGTTCCTCTTGTTGCAAAGCACGTCTCCATCGATGGGCATGCGAACACGCAGCGTCAAGACATGCTCAAATTCCCGAAGCATGTTCTCGACATAGCCCTGCCAAGTGTGCATCCACCGCTTGTCGGACCAAGTTGTTTTGGCCCAAACGTTCCGCAAAAGGAGAGAGAGAGAGAGACGAAGAGAGAGAGGAAGAGAGAGAGCGAGAGAGCGGGTGGGGGCAAGACGGAGACGGAGACGGAGAGACGGAGACGGAGAACCAGAAACCGAGAACCAGAAAGAGAAAGAGAAAGAGAAAGATAAAAAAGAAAGAAAGAAAGAAAGGGAAAAGAAAGAAAACGACTCTGTGACTAACAACTCCAACTGCTCTTGGTGTTCCTTCACTTTCATCCCACTTCTGCCCCCTTTCACCCAGGCATGGTGAACCAAATACGTGAACCATAGTTCACCATGGTGAAACCTCAACCTTCCAGTGTCGCACGACTTGCTGGGCTGCCACCCACCTTGGTCTCTGAATAGAACGAGCCGGTGAAATTCGGATGGTCCTCTTCACCTCAGTGGATTGAACGATGCGATGGATGTGATGGGCCGAGCCCTCCAAGAGATCTCCAGGAGTTGAGTTGAGTTAGTTCAACCACATGAGTTCATGTGTTCTGGAGAGATGTGTTGGAGCATGAAGTGGTTCAAATGCTTCAACAAGTGGTTTGGTGGAATTATTCGGCCAGTCCTGACATGTTAAGTTCTGGACATTCGACTTGGCCCAGATGTGGAGACAAGACTGATGTTGGTCATCTGGTCATCCCAGAGTTGACACGCTTGACACAGAGAGCTCGACGCGGAAACAAAAGTGATTGATTCTGAAACTTCTTGATTGATCACACGAGGGGGAGAGTTGAGACTCGAGAACTCCGGGCCGTTCCTTCACCAGTCATTGAGTCCCTGAAGAGGGGCTCTTAGATCTGCCTGAGTTGCTAAAGGTCTTGGACGCATCCTTGGCCACCAAGGAGGCGTCTCGCTCCACCTTCTCTGGCTTGCTCTGGTCATAGTGGAAAATGCATCCTGCAAGAATCCAACATGACTTAGCCGACTTTTGAAGTCTGGCTGCCAAGAGTCCAAGAGCCTGTGATGCCCATCAGTTCTGGCATCACAGAAGGCTATGTTGGGGGCTGGCGTCATGCATCCAAGTTCAAAGAAGCAGTGGGGGGGGTATCGAGTCTTCTAAGGAACTGCAACGAACAAGGCCCTTCAAGGCAGTCCTGTGGCAAAGTTGGTCATGTGGATACCGTGCATGGCGCAAAGGTCAGCCAGGGTCAAGGTACCGATGACATTTACGCGAATTGTCTCCTCGCAGGAGAGAAGAAATGAGGAACAAGCGCAGGGAGCAAACTCAGGGAGGAGCTCTTTTCTGAAAGACTGCAACCGAAGCATTTCTGGAATTAAATGCCTTGACCCCATCCCCAAGCCCCACGTTCCTGCCGATGCGTCTCACACCAGTCCACATTGGGTCGCCCAGTCACACCTGCCGCATTCATCCTTGGGGCAGTCTGTGACAGAGTCTGTGGAGGCATCAAAAACAAAGGATGCAACACAATTCCTGGGTCTTGATATCAATTTTGTGTGGCACTTTGGCATAAACATGATCCGAGCTCAGGAACTGTGCTGAAAATCCACTTCTTCTAAGCAGGACAGGTAGAGGCTTCATGAAGCTGATGAGAGGATTCTGGATACGTCCTCATCAAACTTCGTTGTTGGCAAAGACTTGCCCCTAGTTCAGCTATCACCTCAAAACCACAGTCGCATCGCCTTGGGTACTCGGACCCCCGGTTCCAGACCCCACCAGCCGCGGCACACGTGAGTGCAGCCGCTGTGGAGCAACTCGCGTTCCACCGACTCTCGATCTTGGAGTCGGGAATTCGCCCACCTCGGTGAGGCCAAAACGAGGAAAGTTGGATTATATCAGAGAAGTCTTTTCTTGAACCGGTCTCCTGCAACATGGGTGGGTTTGATCTGCCCAGTTGACGCACCTCTCTCTCTTTCTCTGGCGGGCATGACTAGACACCTAACTGCAACTTCCCTAAAGGCCGGAGACCAAGGGGGCAAGACGGAACCAACATAGGAGACTAAGATCGAAATGCAAACATCTGCGGTAGCAGGGACAAGACGAAAAGGACTGTGGAGGCATTCCAGTTACCGCACCTGTCCGGCTGTCTCCGGCTATCTTAGGCTCTAGGCCACAAAAACTAGACACCCTTTTCCGCGGGTTAGGAATAGGAGAAGCCGCAAATCCCTAGCCTGCTACCTGAAGCGATGCGTCAAGACCCCAAGCAGCAGAAAATCATAACACTGTTATGTCATTTTATGTAAATCTGGGCAAATTCTACTATATGCATTCCATAGTTCAAGATCTGATCTCAATTCAATAAAACCACCAAAACGCAGATGTCTTTGGAACTGAATCTCTGGCAGGACCTGGCGCTCTCTCGCGCTCGAAGGCACTCCCAAGCGAAGCCCTTCTGCGTGAGCAAATTGCCGATCATTCCGCCAATCCACCCAGTCCTAGGGCGATGAGGCCACGCAGTGGAATGCACCGCGCTAGGAGGTTTCGAACCACTGACATACACTGACTTTTTCAATAGTACGGCTGTCGCAAAATCAGTTTGGAGTGGTTTGCTTCCGCCACTGAGAGAGTTCTCGCTCTGTCCACGCCCACAATTAGGCCCCCAGCTTGCCAAAGACCAAGAACTTCACCTTCTTCGCCTGCGGGACAAACCATCTTAAAACATGTGGGGACAAACACCTGTGGAAAGCCGGCGACAAACGCACCAAGAACATGATCGAGTCATAATACTGACGGAAGCTGTGAGTGGGAATGGGCCACACCAATTCATCGGAATGCCCGACTATCTCACACTTGCTGGCCGCTCGCGCACCTTCTTAGCCGGTGGTTGGCCACTGCTGGCCTCCAAGGCATGTCAATATATGCAGGGAGCTCTGAATGGACTCTACCCCACACGTCTGCAGCACATCTCCAGGCAAACCTCTGGGTGCCCACAATTCCGAATTCCCCAAACCTTCGAGCCCCTGGCACAGCCAAAAAATGCCAAAAATACACTATCATCTAAGCCATGGAATGACACACCCAGAAGACGAGGACAAAACCACAACACCCAATCTGGTCGGTTCGTCGACCCTCCAGTGGCTCGGTCAAGGGTCAGCGTCCTGAGAGTCCACCAGCGCAGGCACCACCAGCGGCACGGGGTGCGCTACCAGCACTGAATCCAAATCGCAGCAATCCCAGAAGCTGGCGCCATGCACGCCTCATGAAAGACAGAATCAAGCAAAACCAAAGCTGTTCCGCAGGCTTCCTCGATCGCAAAGCTTTTTGGACAGTTTGAGCAAGTGGGTGATGTCGAACGAGGGCCAACATCAGTGTTGCTCGTCCGGAACTGCACGGATCGAGGCAAGCAGCACGGAATTCGATCAACCCACCGTCCAAGTTCTGTTTGGAGCTTGGCTAGTTTCCACTGGCATCGAAGTTGGCTCCCTTCAGGCAATTTAAAAAAAAGGAGGTCGATACAGAACAACGAGAGAGGAAGTGCTGATTCATTCAAAAAGAAAATCAGTTGCATGTCCGCCCCCTTGTGGATAGGGGCCTAGGGGCCCTTGACCCTCTTGGTTCGGATAAGTGAACCTTCTTGCATCTTTATCTCCAACCTTGGAGAAGCAAGAAAACATACTTTGGGTTTTTCTTCCGGTGATTTGGGTGAGCATTCTATGTAGGATACTTTGGATCGCAACTGTTTGCATATCTCATATCACCGTTTTCGTGTAGACCACAGGGGTGTGTGTGTGTGTGTGAACCTGTCTGTAGTCCTAGTTGCCGTATATATTTGTGAACGTCTCGGTGATCCAGTATGAAAACAATAAGTCCGAAAATACCCAACCCACGGGGGGATCCCATCATGGACTGGATTGATTTCTGAACAAGGTGTATCACTTGTTTCTCAGATTCATACAGCAGGTACACAGCTTTTCAATTGGCTTTTCCCAGCTGCAGTGTTCAAGCCTTTGTTGCATCTTTGCTAGCACGAGCTCGAGGCGGCAACTGATCAAGATGCTGCAACTGCAACCGGGCATCCGCCGTGTTCATCGCAGCGAAAAAAACAGGCTGCTTGGAAGTTGTGCGGTTGTTGGTCGATGGAGCTGATAAGGATGCTGCATTTGAAGATGGGTTAACTGCCATGTGCGTTGCGCATTTAAAGGCCATGCGGCCACATGGAAGTCGTGCAGTTATTTTTACTGAAAGCTGAAAGCTGACCCCGACGCAGTGCCTCATAATAATCCCATGATGGGGTCATAGCTTTGCTTATTGCTGCTCTGAGTGGCCAAGTGGAAATTCTGTGATTGTGCCTTGAAGCAGGAGGTTGCCACAAGTCAGAGAGGCCACTTCGCACAACTTGCCAGCATAGGAAGCAAGACACACCAATGCCGCTCCAGATTTGTCAGCTCCAGCTTTGATCAGCAACCCCCATAGTCAGCTTCCGCATCTATGTTGGCCTCAGCTTCGAGCAGCAACTCCACTATGTCCGAGTGGCCATTCTCAGCTGCCAGCATCGAAGTCGTCGACCCATCTGAACGTTGTGCATCATGGTATGCTCCAGTAGCAGGAAATAACATCACAACATCCAAGTGCCCGTTCTGCGCTGAATCAATCAAAGCTTTTGAGCTATCTTCACGTGCTGCATCATTTTTACCGTGTGCATCTTTGTCTTCTCCAGCTTTGAACAGCAACTTCGCTATGTGCAAGTTGCCCCCCTCAGCTGCAATCATCAAAGCCGTTGACCCGTCTTTGCTTTGTGCATCTTTGTTGGCTCCAGCTTTGATCAGCAACCGCACAACGCCCAAGTCGTTTCCTGCAACTGCAATCATCAAAGCCGTTCACCCATCTTCACGTGCATCTTTGTCAGCTCCAGCTTCGAGCAGCAACTTCACTACGTCCGACGTCCGAGCGGCCATTCGCAGCTGCCAGCATCAAAGACGTTGACCCATCTCCTCTTTGTGCATCCTTGTCAGCTCGAGCTTCGAGCAGCAACAGCACAGCTTTGAAGTCGAACTGTGTCAAAAACCTGTCTACGATCTGTTACATGGCTTCCGCGGGCCATGTTGGGTTGAAATCCTCTTCCGCGGCACTTCCACAACGTATTTCTAAAAAGTGCTCATAGGCTAGATAGATCTCCTTAGTAGTAGAAGAATTTAGCATTGGCAAGAAGAAAAAATATGCACCTCCGCAAAGCTTCAGCGGTGGTGAATTTTACCATATACTTACACAGACTCACGCGGTGGCTTCCGCGAGCTTCCACGACCGGAGTTTTGGCTTCCGCGGGCAAGTTGGCGTTTACAAGTTTGCTTAAACGGTTTGTGAGAGGCTTTTGACGCTGCCCAAGTGGCCATTCTGAGCTGCAAGCGTCAAAAATGTTGACCCACCCGCACGCAGGCATCCATTCGGCTTCTCTGGTCTTTGCAGCAGTTTCTCAACTTTTTAAATATCATTCCGCTCACATGCTCGAAGTAGCGCCCTCTCCTCTCCTTCATGAGGGCAGCAAAATCCCCTGATGAGCAATTGCACACTTCTTTCAAACAGTGCTCTTATAAAGGATGGCGTCAGGCAACTTGTCCAACCCATCGTAGTCTTTGCTGAAACCTTGAGTAGCCAACCCACTGCAAGGAACCGCTTCAGGTCCCCAACAGTATGCCGATCTTCCACCATGCTCAGGAACTCATCCTCACTGACGGCAAAGGTTTCACCTGAAACTCTATGAATCTCCATGAGTTCAGGCCTTGAGCCTCAGAAGAGGAACGTGCCAGAAGGGGAGTTGCCTTGGGAAACCAGCATTTCAAAAATTGGACACTTGAATAGCTCCCCAATGGATTGACCTCCGGCTTCTCTCATGTATGACATTCTTCTGTCTCTCTGGGGAACAGCTACCCGGTACCCTCCGTCCGCACTCCATGAAATCAAATGCGGGAGAGGTCTTGGGCTACCAATTGTCCTTGTCATTTTCCTTTTACAGTCCCGACACTCCCGACACTCCATGCTGGCCAATGCGGGCCAAGGAGCTAAACCAGTCCACGGTTTGCTTGAGCCCCTCGTCGAACTTGATCGTCTCCTGGCGATTACGACGTTCCGAACATCAACTCGAAAGCTGACTCATGCCTAATTCTTTGAGGTCACCATATATGCTTAAGCAGTAAAACGGTTCTTTTTAATATACAGTGTTACAGTAGAATGAGGTTCGTTAGTCAGCTTGCCACCGACTTGGCCGTAGACTTAGGGCCTCTCCCTCCTGTTCTCACTGAACGGTAGCCACTGTGCAGTACCCACGTTATCTGCATGTTGCAGGAAGGCCACCATGGAGAGATGAGCACAAGAGGAAAGACATGAAAATGCACACCTGTCACCACCTGTCCTTCCAGCCCAGACTTTCAAGCTGACGGAGGTCCAAAAAGTAGCGCATGTCGTTGAACGGCCTCGCAGCTTCCACAGTGTCCTCTCCATCCCCTCCCTAGAACACTGGCAAAAAACGCTCAAAAAGCCTGGACGTCAAAATGTTCACCATCGAAATAGACCTGCCTGTCACTGCAAGCACGAAAGCCGGTCTATTTCAATCCTAATTTCTGGCCCTCATAGAATCGAAGGGTCAAAATGCAAGCGGCCGGTTTCGCACGTGCTCAATCATCTTCTCCGGCTCCACGTCTGGCTTCATCATGCGGATAATCTGCTTCACCTGAAATCGGGCCACATGAGGAAGAAAGACCAGCTCATCCTACCTGAAAATAGAAACTGTTTGGAGAAAATCAGTGCCTTTCATGGCCCTTCCGAAACAGAGTTTCCTTCATCTCCGGGGTGCCATGCAGTAGTGTGAGATCCCGAGAAGGCAAGTTTGCAGTTACTTGTGAAGAAGGCCCTGGATCAATGGCAGGAGCAACCAGCTGGCACTTCCTAGATGCACACGCCCCAACGAAGCCAATGTCCTTGCTCACCATTGACCACTGGATTTATAGAGGGAGCTCCTTCTAGTGAGACATGCGGACACGCCGTGCATATCGAATTTGAGCAAACTAGCCACCTTGGCTGTGCCTGTGCATCCCTAAAGTAGCTAATTACCCTTTGCTTCACATGGATTCAACGGCATATGCGCAGCGTGTTTGTGTTCGATGGCTTGGACAACAAAGGCATCGAACCAGCTGACAATTCCGCTCCAACGATCTCCAACCACTTTTCACTTTTGCCATCTGTTTGTTTGACGAGTCGCGATATCAATCACGGAGTGTTCTTCAGCTGTGCCAATGTTGTACGTGCTGCCTGCACACAATGCCAGAGGCTTCAATCCACCACTACCTCCGGCTACAAGTATCAGTATATGTATGTATATATTCTATATGAAGATGCAATACATGCCGGTGACATCATGGCCTCCTTTACAACTCCCATTGCAGCCAAGCATGGAAGGCACGTCATCTGTGCAAGCTAGCGTCGAGCTACAGCGTCTGCCAAACCGCCCGGGCAACAAACAGTTGCTTTTTTGGAGCGAAGTCTTGGCCTGTGACACCTTTGTGCAGCACAATGTCAAAGGCGGCCGCCACATCCTGCCGCCATCATTCAGGAATTCCGGTTGACGAAACTGCCTTCGCTGCGTTCGCTCCAAGCAGATTTCTCAACCCCCAAGGCGATACGGTGGGAGGGGCTTCGCTCATGCAGTATTCGCCGTATCGCCTTCACGTGCAGGTACGATCGCTTGCTGACGCCGTCGCCGTGCACGGTGAGCTTCTTGTTCCTGGCAGTGGCTATAAACATGAAACAGGAACCTCAGTGGCATAAAGCCTAACCTTCATCAAGCAAGGCAGCACACGGCATGCTCACAGGAGATGTATATACCCCTGACAAAGGGAGCTATGCAAGCGGTCATATTCACAGCAAAATAGATCGAACGGATGTTCATGTTTGTTCAAGGTGGTCGGCAACCTTTCTCCATCTGTGTCACTGTTGATGTGTCCCTCTAGAAATTTGTATAGGTGGCTCAGTGTTTCGGACGTATTGCTCTGACTCTGTCCTCTGCAACATCATGATCATCTTCGGAATGAGCTTCTCTGGGTACTGGCGCGGGCCATAGACATTGTTTCCACCTGGCGGGTCCAAAATGTCCAACATCCTCTGACTCTGGACATGAAGACTTTCACATCCTTGGACGATCCCTGACAGGATCGATATCTCAAACCCCAGAGGCGACGACAGGAGCCCCCTGAGCCCCCTGGCGGGTCACCAGCACAGGCAGACCATAGGAGCGATGATATGACTTCACCTGAGCCCACAACGGAAGCGCTCCACGAATCCAAATGATTGAAGCCCATGGCCCGTACAACGGGCCCAACGGGGTGATTCTGAAGTGTCATGCCTCTTTCAGGGCAACTCTCTTCCAGCTCAAGGATGTCATCACCGCCTTCGGCACGCCTTCGGAACGCCTCTTCCTCCGTCCCATCGCCCCCACAGCCGCCAAGCCGCCATCATCTCGGCCGCGGCCTTTGACGCCGCGTAGGGATTGGTGGGGTCTAGGGGGGAGGTCGCCTCCACCTGGCAGGAACAGATGGGTCGGTCGCTGAGAGGGAAGGGGCTGCTGAAGTCGAAGAAATTGGAACACAACGTCTGGAAACGTGAAAATGTCGGGCTTTGAACCTGGCGCCTGTGTTCACAACAAAGCGATGCCTTAATGGTTCTATGCGACAAGCAAGTGTTTGTGTGTGTGTGTGTGCCGTACGCCCTCACACCACGAAAAAGCCGCCAAAGAGAACCTGAGCCTTCTATCTAGCTGGCAACGCTCTGATGCCACATCGGTGTGAGCCAAAGGGAATCCATGGAAGTGCAACAGTTCACCAGTACAGCCCACCTTCATGTCTGCTTCATCGCTGTAGCTGGCATTCTCACCATACACCTGACCAAGGCAGGGCCAGAGTGAGAGAGAGCATGGCTGGTCACCTACCAAGGATGGGCACCTCTTCCGAAACTGCAGCGTGGCACTAAACTACAGCGTTGCTTCCTATACTCCTATACTTCCAAAGATCTCTTGTGCTAGCGCACAGATCCCCAGCACTTCGCACAAGATCATAAAAGCTCACACCTCACACTTCACGTAGATTTAGACAATCTTAGATGTGCCAACCTAGATCACCCGTTCAATCACGACAACCTGGATGCACCTCATCGGTGCTCACATGGATGTAGCGCAAAACTTGGTTCTTGTTCTCCTTGAGCACTTCAAGGATTCCTGAATTGCCCAAACAGGACTCAAGGGCAGGACAGGTCCGACAGTGTCAGAATCTGGTAAGTGGAAGATCGAACACTCAGCAACCGCACCCTTCAACTTGAAATCGTCCGTGTCCGTTTGCTGTCCCCATGAGCCAAATTGAGCACAACTTGAAGTAGAAACCCACTTTTACATGCCCCAAAATGGGAACCCCGCTGGCACCGAGATCTTGCCTAGTCTCGGTGGGTGCCTAAAACGTTGTCATCCGTGAAGGTCACTGAGTTCCCGAAGGAGAGGTCCACGTGGGTCTGTGCCGCAAAATGCATCACGGTGTCAATCTCCTGCCCCACACGGCGCCCACACGGCGCCCACACGGCTCCGCGGGACCCCACGGATCGATCGCGAGTTCCGGTGGGACGAAGGGGCAAGCCTGTCCACCTCCGAATTGCGTCTGTCCGCTTGTGCAGCTGTCTGCTCCGTTCAATCAGTTCAGACCTCCTGTTTAAGAGTGCAAAGATCCAGGACCTGTGAACTCTGTGAGAATCATCACATGCGCAGCACGGGACTGCAAGCAATTAGCAAAGTTTGCTGAAGGTCACGTGAGCAAATCAGCACAAATTTTGGGGGGCCTCATACAGTTGCCATATATATATATATAAACCAAATTAATGTTCACTTAGCTGAGTCCAGAAGAACAGTTCCTGGTCCACCTGTCCTCCTGCTTGATGACATAGTGCATCAGATCGGGGCTCTTGATGTCGCCTTTCACGAACTTGAAGTTGGGCTTTCCAGCCTTGACACTGACACCCGCTTACCACCGAAGCCAAATCGAACAAACAGGGCTGGCTGTGAGGCACAAACTACGTCAGAAGCAATCGAAAGTTCGATCTCATTGGTTCGACAGTTCCACAATATTGGTTCTTGGCACATCTAGGCCACCATAGACTCAAAGTTCTTGGTGTTGGCGCAGTAGTCCAGGCGATCCAAGATCACAATCCTCACACAACACAGGCGGAGCGTCTCACAGAACAATAGCGATGCCCATAATGACATGCCATGAGTCATAAAAACTGTTTTGCCCCCAACTTTGCCTGTGCCCATCTGAACTGAGTAGAACCACACAACTCACGTTCCTCATGCTGGTCGTCTGCATGTGTCAGTTCTATAAACACGGCGATTTTAGGATGGTGCAGGCCGAGCTCTTCAGAAAGTCACCCTGGATAAGCCCTTGAGGAAATCATTTTGAGAACCAAGCATCTTGTACTTGGGATACTTGAAAAACAAATGCTCTGCCACATGGCTGGCAATGAATCCAGCACCGCCGGTGATGAGGATATTCTTCGGCTCGTAACTCATCTTCCAGAGCCTGAGCCACCAAATGTGCAAAGAAATGGTGTCTGATGACACTCTGCGGCAATTCAAGCCCTGCCTAGCAGAAGGTAAACTTAGAGTTCCCCATCAACCTAAGCCGCTGATAACCGCTGCTCCCCCATATTTGTCGATACCTTACCCGCGAGTCACGAATCCTGGACTGTGTGAATGCTGTGTGCATGTGCAAGCTCCAACACATTGGAGATTACAAAGGTGAGGCACTAGCTGCGCTAGCTCCACTTGAGAAAAAGCTAGATGGGCATAGATGGGCGACACTCCACTGGTCAAACCACTTGTTAAAAGGGTCTCAACTCCTACGGATGTTTATTTCCCTTCATCACTGCTCCGAGCCCGGCATCCCCCCACATGGCTGCCCAGAAGCACAACTTTCAAGACCTGTGAGCCCCGCACTACTCAATTGCTTGAGCCAAGAGGAGTGCAGCAATATCGAAGTACAAGCAATCCTGTAGGACAAGAAGCAAAGCCACAAAGGGAATCATCTAGATCCAACTGGAATGCAGGTGAGGAGTATGAGTAGCATTTACTGGGGATATGTGCTCTGACTTGGGCTTCTTTCTCAATCCTGGTTCATGGAACTTCATGGGAACTTGATGTTGTGCGCGTGTGATTTTGTGTGTGTTTGAGTTTGTGTGCTAAATCATGAATCGGTCCACGTTTCCAAAGCAAGGCTCACCTACGGCTCAGATGTTCCCCGGCAACGGCCCAAGGGGCAGGGCCTTGGGCATCGGCCCTTCATCCTTCCACGCTTTGGGCGCCCGTGCTTCCAGTTCGGCCCCCACGGTTCGGTAGCCGCATGGGCGACTCCTGGATCTGCTAGTGGAAGTCAAAAAGCATTGATCATTGATAGGGACCCCATATAGGGCTTGGTAAGAGGGTTGGCATATGGACTCTTTCAGAAGTGAGCCAAAAAGCTCTCAGATCTCCCAGCCCTCCGCCAACGGCCCCTCGTTGCAAAGCTTGCGCGCGGCGTGCAGGTGACCAACAGCTAAGGTGCAGACACCTCTTTGTGGCGATTCGCCTCTCTGCCTCGGCAGCCGGATCTCAAAAGGTATACAGATGAACCCAATGACAAAATATTAAAAAAAACTTATAAACGGAATTAATGCCATCATGCTACTCTTGTGACCTTGTGACTTACCTTTTTGTTCTGCAGCTCCACATGCCGCCATCGTCCAGAAAACAGGGAGTTCATGCCACCAAGCGACGGATAGCGATCGGCAGGTGAAGTCTTCGGTGATGGCCTCAGCTCCCGCGTTGCAAAAAAACAATCCGACCAGGTCGGTGAACAGGAACAACTCTTCGAACAGCTCTTGAGGGAAGTCATAGACACCCCTAAATCCACAGCAGGCCACGTGTTTGGGGTCCCTACCAACTACTCCAGCTCTTTGGTCCTTTGGTCTGTCCTTTCTACCGTGAAGCATAGCGCCATCGCCCCGCACACGGCACTTTTCCCAAATCGCGTTCACCGTTCGGTGAGTGAAACGATGTTTGTCGGCAACACGTGTTTGTCGGCAAAAATGAAACACCACAAAAAGCTCAACTCGGCTGAGACAACACTTCTTCAATCAAGCCCAATGGCTGCACGGGCGCGGGCCCACTCACCAACCAGGGTGTCCAAAGGAGATGGTGCTGGTTCTTTTGTGAATTCTGCTCCTCGCGCAGTGCTACGGAGTTCTCGATGGGGTTCTGATTCCTCAGCGTCTGCCTCGCGCAAGCCAGCTTCTAGAGCCAGGACTGCTTGTTGGAAGTGTCTCGCATGTTTCTCCGTTTCCTCCAGCTTCTCTTCTAGAGCCCGTCCATTGGCTTTCACTTCAAGAAGATAATGCTGCCGCTCTTCCAGCTCTTGCTCCACCTGATGGAGCTCACTGGAAAGAGGGTCCACGTGATCACAGCCATCAGCCGAGCTGTCGAACTGTTCGAAGCGCACCTCTTCGCTGCGCCCGTCACAGGATCCCTCCGACGAGGGCGATCGACTGCTGGGCTTCAAGAGTCGATCGCGGCCTCTCGAGCCACGGCCGCGGCCGTGGCCGTGGCTGCCGTGGCTCGCCTCGTCCTTCCTCTCCAGGGGCGCCAGGGCTGGTGGATCTGCTGATTGGCTCCTGGAGCCTGGGCCATGCGAGGGGCGCCGCCACAAAGGCGCACAGTGAGGTGCACATTCAGACCAGTCTCCTTGCACTTCCTGACGAGCTGCTTGTAGCACCGAAGCTGCCATGCGTCATGGAGTCTGGATGAGGTGGGACTTGCTGGAGTTCGTGTTTGAGCTGTGGAGTCAAGTCCGTTATAACTCTGTTTGTGCTTTGGTTGCATTGTTCTTGTTGGGCCTACCTGTGGGTCTTAATCTTGTTCGAACTGGTTCTTGGTGCCGAGCTTGTAGCTATGCAATACGTTGCAAACATCTTCTGCTGTAGTAATAATTCTCCGCCAACCTGCTAGCATCATCCAACGCGATGTATCAGATTGTGTAAGTACTGCATATGCCCCTCAATGTCTAACAAATGCCTTGATCAGCTGCAGAGCACCTGAGATAGCAGAAAAATGATGAGGCTCAATAGTGTGGAGAACTATTCGGACTCACAGTCTTTTAGGGTCCATCTGCAATCACTTCACAGTCAGTAAACCCAACAGATTGAGAGATCGAGCTCTTTGACCGCGTGTGCTGACGCTGTATCCATAGTTGGGCAGTGATCCAAGGGGTCCAAAACAGTAAAAGCTATACAACAAGGAGTCCCATCTCACCGCCTTCCGCCTTCTTTCGGCCTTCCTTCGGCCTCCGGGCTCACGTGATCCGGGCCGGCTGCCTCGGTGTCACGGTCACTGGGGTTGGGGGTCCATCACCAGGGAAGAAACAACACAACTCACAGACTCACAGCAGCTGCCCCTTGGAGTCTCTTGGAGTCTGGATACACCGCCCCTGGATGCCCCTGGCCTGGCCGTGTGCTTGCCTCTTGCTGCTGGGCTCCCAGCCATGCTCGGACCCCGACGCGCGCCGGCTTGGTGGGCCTGGTTCGGGATCTCTGTGGCTTCGGTCGGGCGGTGCTTTAGGTCGGGCATTGTTGTCAACACTTTCTGTCAAAAGTTCCTTTGTGTTGATAGCCTTTCCATGCCTTTCCAGTCAAACATCTAGGTTGGAAGCTATGTCTGATGCTCCGAGTGAATGAAATGCTTTGCCGGCAAGTGTGCTTGATGATCCAACAGGACAACTAACATTGAGAGGGTGGGATTTCTGACAATGAATCACATAGGACAAATGGATTTAAGTCAAAACCTCACGTCCCCGTCACGCCACACACCCCTACAACACAAGAGATAGAATCAATTTAAATTCATCGAGCTCAAAATGGAAAAACATTCACAGCTCCCTGGACGTAACATTGGGGTCCGTTGAGGAGCTGTCAGCCTTCCGCCATTCCGGCGACTCGAGCCTGTCAAGGAGTCCCTGATGTGATTGGTTGGCCCTCTTTGTGGCATCGGCGCCTGGCGCAGGGTTCGAGGGGCGATGGCCATTGGTCAAACAAACACCCAACTGGCAAGGCAAGGTACACACAACACTTGACCAAGTGATTGGCAGTTGGCCTTGCAACAGTTACTACACCAGCAAGCCTCCTTGCAGTGTTTCTCCACTATCACCATGTGACTTTCTGGCCATGTGTTTGTTCAAGCCATGTCTCAGGCAACCATCAATGGCTCCTATCTGTTCTCACTGTCCGCTCTCCCGTTCTCTGGGCCTGTGCAACTGGAGCGGCCCAAGTGTTGGACATCGACCCCTGAACTCGTTAAGAGGAGTCGAGGTCTCCAAATCAAACCAAATGCTGATGGAGAACCCCAACCATTTTTCAGATGCAGATGCAGCTGCAACGAATGAAATATAGAAACTGAGGGAAAATTTAACTGCAAAGAGTCCAAAGAAGTTGGTTGCCATGCCTGTGCCGAAAGCCACATTGAACGGACCTACTCAAGATCATGGTAGCTTGGAACAGCACCTGCCATCTCCCCCACCACATGTATGCTTTGCTCATCACCGGCAGGCCTGTGTGAAGGCCAGTCGAGGCGCCGCCATCTGAGGCAGGGTATGTCGGCCATGCCGGCCATGTACGCAACACTCGAAATCATGACCAGCGCGTCGGATGGCCTAGAGGAGAAGTGACCGGCAAATTCCTATGCAAGAAGTCACGTGGCTTCTAGTTCAATTCTTTCTCTGGTGCTTCGGGGCCCCAAATTGGCCACAATTCTTCACAGAACCCACAGACCTCCCATTCCCATTGGACCTCCCGTGCATCGCGTGCATCGCGGGCGTCCCTCATGTCCCGGAGGCTGCCTCCGGCGAGGCATGCTTTCTGGTGTGCTGAACTCGAATCTAGAGCGAAATAGCAATCTTTCCTCTGTACCAGAGTCTAAACTGGGGTGAAGCATCTTCCGACCCATCAATGCAATCGGCTCACCCCTCTCACTCGCCCATCGACAGCCCCCGCCAACGCCGATGCTTTGCGGCGGGAGGTAGCCAGCACTGCCTAAGACACGGCATTTGACATGGACGTCCAGCCGGAAAACAGTGAAAAACGTCGGGCGCTGCATGCTGCTCCAAGCGGATGCACTAAATACCCCCATGAGCTCAGTGGGGCTCCGCACTGGCCGAAATGGGCCTGAGTTGCTTGGGTGAATGAAACAGAAGCTGGAGAATAGCTGAATAGCCTTTCTCAGCGGCTGTTTATGAGGTGGTGCAAATGAAGGAGATGGAGCATTCACTTCGTCTTGGCATCGGAACCTGTCATCCAGTGTGCAGCTTTGCTGTGCCAAGTGCAAAGTCCGCAGCTCTGTCTTCTTTCCCCAGAGCCATCAAAACAAGAAGCTACTAGGGGCTCCTGGCATCGCTACTAGGAGCAAGGATGCTACTAGGGGCTCCTGGCCGTACTACTAGGGCTCCTGGCACTCCTGGCTCTTCGCAGGACGCTTGAACTCTGCTCCCCCGGACGCAGGGCGCAGGTCGAGAGATCTTGTCCGGTCTGGGCTTCCAAACATGCTCTGCGAAAAGCTGGGGGTGCTAACCTTGGTGAAAACAGCCACTGTTCTGCTGTATTCAGCAGCTTGAAACGATCCGCAAGGCGCAAGAGACGGGCAGAACTGGATTTAGCTTTCTACAAGAATGGCCGGGTGTCGAGCCTCAACTGCCAAGCCGACGAAGTTGCAGGTATTGCTTGCTCGGCCACCCTTTGGCGGATGAAACATCACCCTAGGCCCTAGCCACTCCTCGGCCAAGATGGGGTACAACTCAAACACTGCACGGTTTGCTCCTAGCAGCGTCCTTTGCTCCTAGTAGCGATGCCAGGAGCCCCTAGTAGCGAACATTGCTCCTAGTAGTTTTGAGAAAGTCACCCGTCCCCAACCTCCCCGTCTCAGAAACCCTCAGGCCCCGCACGGGCGCTGGCACCGGCGGTGGTGGAGCCGGCGGCGCCGGCGGCTCCTCCTTGTCAGGTCAGGGGGGGTCATGAGCGCCAAGCGCCCAGGAGAACATCGAATCCACCCACCAACCAGAAACCAGAGGGGTAGTGACCACTACAGCCAATTTGAGAACGACAATACTTTCAAGTGCGAAGCGCCAAGTCGTGGACAGTGCCACAGACCGCGTGCGACTTGCGCCCGCTTGCGCCCGCTTGCGCCCGCGACACGGCACCCACGCCTCAACCCAAGCCATGGGGATGTTCTTGGGGGGTGGCCCCCGCTCAACGGCCTGGATGGAGGTTTCAACGCTGGGCATCACAAGCGAGGCAGCCAGCAAGGAAAAGGATGGAAAGGGAAGTCGATGGACTGGGAAGCTCCTTCAAAGCCACAAGAGATACAAAGAGAACATGAAGATCCTGCCCCGACATTCCCTACAAGAACTTGTAAGGAAAATAGTTGGCATCACTGGAAGGTTTCACTGGGCGCGCCAACTCTTTGGATGCATTATACTCTGCCCCAACCAGCTGCTGGGAAAAGAAGGCTCTCGGGCCATCCCTCCTTTCCAGTCTTTTATTCCGCGGCTTTGGCTGCGGGAAACCGGCGCGATTGCTGCGAGGGTCCAGGAGTCCTTGGAAACAGGACCTTCTTCTGCGGACCCTTTTGAAAGTGGATCAAACCTGCATGGCCAATGTCTCACAAACATGCAGCAATACATCTTATATGTCAAAAGACTGAACTTCAAAGTAAGGCACTCAGAAAACAGGAGGATTGCAGGTTTGGCCAGCAAAAGCTCTAGCCGATTTCACCTCACGACTCACGACACTTTGGTCGTCTACAGCTGTGCAGCGCTGTGCGGCGTGGCCCTCACTCACCCCATCGTTTGGGGGCTTCGAAGGCCAGGCTTTGACCTAGTCCTACTAGTCCTACTTCTCGCGGTCCTTCACTCACATCCTTCCAGCATTTTGAGCCGTGCTTGCCCTGGTGCCATCCTCTGCCCTAACCTAAGAACTATGATCTAAATTGTGTGAAACGCCTAAGGTAGGCCCTTCACCAACCGTTTTGCGGGGGGGGCTCCCCAATTCCCAGAGCTCTCAAACACACCGGACAGGTAGCCTTGCCAGTCACTACTAGCTAGATCTGTAAAGTGTGTGAACCTCGATCAACCTTGTCTGTCCATGAACGAGCGAATTCCACTCAGCCCTCCGAAACCCCAGCAGTGGTCCTCCTTCTGTGATCGGCTTGGTGGCTGAATCGCCTGAACTGGCACGTCAGCCCGCACGGGTTCAGGAACGATCCAAAAAGCCCAGCCATCCCCAGTAGCTACTAGTAGCTTCTTGTTACTAGTAGCGATGCCCTTTGTTACTAGTAGCTTCTTGTTCCTAGCAATAATGCCAGGAGCTACTAGTAGCATCCTCGCTCCTAGTAGAAATGCCCTAGGAAAAAAGAATCATGAGTGGGTCCGCACGATGATTATATATCTGTAGGCTAAACGCTTTCTCTCTTCCTTGACGAGAATGTGATATTCTGAAATGCCGGGCAACAAACCAAACACATCAACGCACTGGTAAAACCATCTAAAACCGACTCAAGTGTCCGGGAACCGTCGCCATCAGAACGACTCCAAACGACTCGAAACGGCCGTCATCTCTTGGCCCGCACCCCTTTCGATGGACGTCGGGGGGTGGTCTGCTGAGTGCGCTCGACCAGGGCGCCTGCGCTCCAGCAAATTGAACTCGGTGACCTAGTTAGAGCACTGAAGCATACTACAACTACCGAGAGGTCTTCAAAAATGAGGACGTTGATGGCACAAACGCCGCTTCCAGGGCTTCTTGGACTTAAGACAGGGGTTTCCACCGAACCGTTACAAGGATGCATGACCCATGAAAAGTTGTCAAGGCAACCCTCCTACATGGCACAACCCTTTCAACTTTAAACCATTGCCAGATCTAGCTGCTAGATGGGGTGATCACTGGGATAGCCACATTTGAATTTTGGCTCGTTTCTGCTCATTCCTATTGTTTTCCATCTCTTCAACAGGAGGCCCTGCCGCTCCGACCCCTCCCTCCAACTCCCGCAGGAGGCCGCACCTGCACGGGGCTCCGGGATGAGGCGCTTCAGCTGGTCCACCAAACGCTCCTCGGATCTTCGTCGAAGCTCGGCTGCGTGGCCCCCGAACGAACTCGCCGGGGTCGCCGCCCCCCCGCCGGGAGGTTTGTCTCTGGTCCGAGCGGCCAGGGTGTCTTGCAAACGGCCATGACCCTGGTTCACGTGAGACCTGGGAGGAAACGCAATGGAGTCAAAGCTTCGGTTGTCTTCTTTGGAGGTGTTGGGCCCCCGTCTTTGTCGCAAAATTGCTGCAATTGAGCTGTTTTAACTCTGGACTATGTTGGCATTCTGGGATGGGCTCAACAAATGGTTGAAGTATTGCTGCGCCTTAAGGAGGGAACAAGACTGTGTGCATATAGTTCAAGCTGGTGGAATGCTCATGAATTCACTAGGAAAAAGGGCTCGTCGGCCATCAATTGGTCACAAGCTCCCGGGTCTGTGCACAAGTTAGTGCTGAACAACAATGAAGAACAGCCATCCAACAGAAAAAGGTATGCCGAACTTCCCAACACAAACAACCCAACCACCTCTCACGTATCTCGTCTCCTCGTTTCATCCCCTTGGTTGCTCACTCCAAGGCGTGGATGCGATGATCCAGCGTTTCCAGCTGCGCGGCCTCGCGACACGATTGGCGATCTTCACCCCCTCACAACGCGTTGGGATGCCCCCAAGCCAGGCAGAAGGAGCCCTAAAGCATCTCAAAACATAATAACTAATAATTGTCTAAACAGTTCATAGGGCCTGGCCTGGTCATGTTTCGTTTCCAGCGCCACGACTTTTCAGATGTAAAATCGGCCGTTCAAATGGAAACTCAAGCAACCAACAACGCCTGCTCCATCAATACCTGGCAGGTGTGCCGATTCTCACGCCGCACAACTTTCCTTGGCAGGTGAGATAGAGGATCACTGCACTGTCGTGTGACTAGACCCAGCCAAAAGGCCCAGAGAAATCACAAATCAAATCAGCAACAAACCAGCTTGCAGCCTCCTACTTGCTTGACCCATATAGGCCTAGTGTTGTAGTCCCACCACCAGCCAGCGAATCGAAACCAAACAGGTGATCTGAAAGAAAAATGCATCTGCACGCATTTACAGAAGTTGTGTCTTGCGCTGGTTGTCCCCCAAAGCATGTCAATTCCGGAGTACCGTCATCTGTGGGAATAGCAACGCCAGCAGCAGCAGCAGCAGGAGGAGCAATGTTGGTACCATAGTCATAGTGGTGGTGGTTGTCAGCTTGCATGCACATTCAATCCCTGCACCAGCAGGAGAAGCAGAGCTATAGGGCTAGCAGAAACAAAGGACCTTCGGCATTTCAGTGTTTTTCACTGTTGCTGCGGATGTTTGGGATGCGATGGCCATGAGAGTTCTACGTTGGATCTTGGGACTCTCAAGCACCTACTACATGATCTCCAATCACGTCTCCCCAAGAAAAGTGAACCATCCGTAGCTGCTTGCCCACTTTCCCCGCTTCAGCACATCCTTGCTGGTCCTTTTGCCACGTGTGTTGGGTGGATTTGACACTGAGCCCGTTTCGGTCAAGGCTCTCCACCTGCCTCACTCGGCCTTCCCAGCGGCTGTTCTCCTGCTGGGTGGCCTGGTGACCCCCACCGGCGTAGCGCACCCCCTGGCAAGTGAAGACGTAGGCCTCACGGTGATGGCTAAAAAAGGAGGCTGAGGTCTCAGCAAGTTGAAATAACCAAATGGACTACACACAGCACCAAACGCCTCCAACACCTCTGACCCGTGCTGCTCCCCGCCTGTGCGCTCCCCTCCAGAACCCCCCACACGTTGCCTTCGGCGGCCACTTCGCCGTCCGGTGGCACCGCCGAACGATGTTGGCCACTTCGGCCTCCCGCAAGCCGCGCGGTGATGCATATCCCCCTACTAGAAAGTTCAGATGTTCGAGAGTCTCGAATCGAGACTCTACACCCGTCTTGAATTTAGCAAAAGTGAGGACATCAAAAAGCAATAAAAAGACACACACGCACACACAGAGTACAAAAGAAAATGCATCAACAAGTCCCACCTCATAGACCAGCTCCAGTCGCATGACGTTCCGTGCCACTTCCGCGCTCTCCTGCACCTCTTGCGTCAACCAGGTGGGGGGCCCACCCCGAAAATGCCGTGCCACAGACCAGTGCCAACAAAAGGCTTCATTAGCATCATACACTCTCAAGTCAGTCTTGGAAAAGTAGTTGCTGGGGGAACAAGTCTTGGTACTGCCAAAAATGTGGGCAACATGTTCGGGCCTTGGTATTGATTGGTTGAGTGGCAAATCCTGTTGAAGCCGCCATGCAACAAACATGAGAACCGTGTTTTCCTTAAGAAGCCTTGTGGCGGCCGAGTGCCTTGCACTGTTCAGATCCGTCCTCTTGTTCCCCACCCTCGGAATGCCACGATGACACTCCAGGCCTTGTCATAGCTGTCACTCATGATGGCCTGGATTGCTTCCCACCCAGAACCACGTGACAGGGCTCGACCACACACGCCACCCTCCAAGCCCCCACACTCATGCTTGCTACGCCATGCCATACCTCAACTGTCACCGGAAAGCAATACTTCCCCGATGCGAGCCAGTCCTATGGTACAACCACATTCAGGAAAACCACCCATAAAACTAAGGAACCTCCCGTCTCAACCACAGAACTCGAAACGGGAGGTGGTCCGACCAAGCTTGAGCATGCCATTTCCCTGCTAGTCCAAGGGTCAATGAGAAAGTTCATCATCACCTCAGAGTGGATGTGAAGGGATTGAGAACTTCTGAACGCAAAAGTTCAAGGCCACTCACCGCAGGCACCACTTGCTTCACTGTGAATTGAAATCGCTTGGGCTCCCCAGTCCAGACGGGCAAAAGGAGGCTCCATCCCGTATCCCCATCCTCGACTGACCTCTATCGTCGAAACCCAGCCTCAATTATAAATATAAGTGACCTAAGCACTAAATTGAAAAGAGCGTAGCCAAGTCACCACCAGCATCACAACGACACAGATGACAAGCAGCAGGCGCGCAGTCAAGGATCCAGAGTTGTCCTTGGCCACATTGCGCCAGATCATGTATAGGGCAGGTGGCTGTGGAAACGGCCCCTTCCATTTTCCTCATTAATTTCCGGGGTGCAGCCCCTGCTGCAGCCACATCATTCTAGGATGACCGATTAGCGAGCCAGTTGAGGACTTCCACAATCGCACCTCATAAGTCCACCTCCATCCAACAGAACTGCAAAAGCCACTGGCATTGAGCACAACAGATGTCCCAACCAGCCACAATAAGACAAGACTCGGCGGGCTCCCACAGCGGCTCGTCATGTCTAGGTTGTTGCACCACGTCATCCGCATCGCCAAAGATGCCATGCATGTACACGTACCACATGGTGGCACCCAAACCTTCGAAGGTGAAGGGCTGGTCATAAAGCCTTGTGCGACACGGCGCCACACCCACAACAGATCAGGTGGGGCGGCAGACGCGGAGGGAAGGCAATTCAGAGTTGGGAACACCAGCGGAAGTGCCTGCATTTTGCAGAGAAGTGGCAGTTGGAAGGCGAAAACAAAGGTCAGCAGCATCACCGACATCACCCAGAAGAAGCTGGACATATCCCAGAAAATAATGATGAGGGTCCTGAATTCCAACGCTCAGCCCTTCGTTTCAACCTGATCTCACTCCACATGGTGAAGCCATACGCAACCATGAAAACACCCTTGGCAGTCCTGACCAGATGCCCTGTAGACGACCCAGCACGAAGGAAGCTTACCAACCTGACGGGCATCCAACGCGACTTGCCAACCGCAAATCTGAGCATTACAAAATGTCATTGCCGACGGTCACTGCTTCATGAGGGCATAGCTGAGGCACAAGATCCAAATCGAAGTAGCTAGAATCTCCTAGGTTGGAGGCCATCGCTATTGGGTGGGAGGCCATTAAGTTACTACTAGTAGCTAGTAGCCAGAAGCTACTAGGAGCGACATGCAAGTTGGCCATCACCGCCCAAACATCAGAAAGACACCCCACCCCACCTGGAGCACACGAAGACAGTGGTGATCGCCAGCAGGTTCCGACCCTCCCAAATGGTGGTGCCTTCCTCCACGAAGATGCCTAAAACAAAACCCATAGAAATCCAAGCAACTGCCTTTTCTCCCACACCTTGCCAATAAACCTGCCCAAGACTAGGTGATGGGGAAACCTCAAAGCAAAATTTTGTTCTGCAAACCTCTCGATGTCTAGTTCTCTTCGGCCGCCTTTGGACCTGAGAACGACCTGGGTGAAACCATAGCGATGGTCTGCCACCGATGGCGCCCCTGAGCTCTGCAGGTGCGCGCGAATCTGATGCCGTCGCCCTGTGTGGATGCGGATCGCCAGCAGGGACGAGGGCGACGCAGCGCCTCGCTCCCAGTGGGCCAGCAAACGCACGGAGGACCTCAGCCATCTGCCCGTGCAAGGCATATGGCCAACAAAGCAACTGAGCAAAGGAGGTGGTTGCAGACAGTCTGCCAAGAAAAAATCCAGCCACCCAACTCCTACCCTTTGACCCTAAAAAAGAAAAGAAAGCAAGTTGTAAAGAGTCTAAAGGTTAAAATAGGTAGATAGATAGATAGGTAGATAGATAGATAGATAGATCGGTGGATAGGTAGGTAGGTAGATAGATAGAAAGACAGACAGATAGATAGATAGAGAGATAGAGAGATAGAGGGATATAGAGAGATCGACAGATAGATAGATAGATAGATAGACGGATAGATAAACAAATAGATAAATACACACAAAGGTAAAGAAATTTTGAGTGGATCTAACCACTCCCCATCAACTCAAAGCGCAGCGGCTTTCCTTTCCTGCTCTGGGCTCTCAGTTCAGCTTCTAGACTCCGCTGATGGAGTCAAGTGAAAAGGGGCTTCGGGACAGATACACAGTCCACACGCAGCAAGCTACCTTACAAGCTAGCAACTCTAGATGACTATACATCTCTACACGCCTCCTGAACGCGTGTCTCCTTGAGACACAAATGAAAAGAGATGCCTAGCTAGCCACGGCTCAATGCCCCTCAGTGGCACTTCAGGCCTTCAAGGCAAGCGAGCGCTTGAGCGGCAGTGCATTCTTCGAGCAACGTTTTCGTCCGGCGGCTGTTTGAGGGTAGATCGCTTAGCAAGCTCAATCTTCCCAGAGAGGACTTGTTGTTGGGTCCACAGAAGAACTGTATCTACTTGCTTGGCTTTCCCCGATCCATGTCGGCTGCCTGTTGCTAAGCCTGTTGTTGCGTCCATATAGCATGTGATACTGACACGTATGTTCCAGTCTGCCAATAAGCTCTGCTCACCAAGAGCTTGGCGTGAACCAGATACCAACCCATAATACTCAGCTTCTCCAGAGCTGAGTGCAATAACTGCTTGTGACTTGCGTGTATTGCGAGTAGTGCACTTTCCCAAAAGCAAAACTGTACCAGTTGTACTCGTTCGAGATCTTAATCAACCAGCATGATCTGCGTCAACCCGAACATCAAGCTGGGTGAACTGTGTCTGATTTGGAAACAAGTGCAACAATCGGGGATATGATCGCAAATAGCGAGCCCGACGCTTCAGCATCTGCATATGCGTGGGGTTCAACCCTTTTGCCAGCTCCTTTCCAGGAAGGAGTAGATCAGGACGATCTCGGGAAAGGTAAGCCAACCTCATGCTCACTGAGCGATAGCGAGCCGCCTCCTCGTTGCTGAGAGGTTCTGACTCGCAAACATCCTCCATTCGCTCTTTCACAAGTGGTGTTGTGATCTTTGCAGCTTCACCACCTACCTCTTGCAAGATCAACTCCACACGTCGTGGATCTGCTTCGAGCTCAATTCCTTCACTGGCCAAGTGACCAACCTGTTGAGAATAACAATGGTTTGATTGACTCCTTCCATTCCTGGGGGCCAAGAATACCACGGACGTCAATTGTCCGATGTTTCTTCAACTCTTCTGCGAACCATTCTAAGTTGGACTTGGAACCTACTCAAGTAAAATCACCACCATGAACTTCTACACGAATCTGCTTTCCCGGGCGATAACAAATACAAGAGTTTGACTTGCCCTGTACAAAACCAATGGGTGTCGTAACGACACAAATGGCTGCTTCCCAGTTTGCTGGTGCATCGCGAGTTCCATACAAGCTTTTCTTCAGCAAACCAACAACATCAGGACCATAACCTGCTTCTGGTGGAAGTTCCACCAGCAATCGCCTCCTGGCTGGCGACTAAAAGTGTGCTTCACGTCGATGAAAATCAAGCAAATGTCTCTTGGTTGTGTGATCCGTTTGCCACTTATATCTGGAATTCGCTCTGTGACTGCAAGTGTGAACAACATTCGAAGTGCTGCGATGGGTGGCATCGAAGCGAAGAAATCGCTCCAAGTGCTCCAATCGTTGTCAGCCTTCTTTTTAATTCACGAGCAACCAATCGGCTTCTGCACTTCTCTTTCTCCTCGTCGCCCTTGTTGACAGGAACCCAACGAGTTGAAATGACCTTCTCGCCAATGGGGTGAGGGATGATCCCAAACTCCCATGTCTCCGACGACGGAAATCTCTTCCTTTCGAGCGGCAACCACTTTCTCCGGCTTCAGCTCTTTCCCACTGACATCATCCCAGTAGCGAGGCAACTTTTCCGGATCTAACCCGAAATCTTCCTCACAAACGGGGTATTTGACTGCCTCAACCTGTTGAAGGAAACCTTTCCTTTGCGCTGTAAGCAAATTAGCGACTTCCATTTCAGCGTCAGCAATAATATCAGGGGAATTTTCGGCCTGCTCGGCGGAACGTTTTGCTCCTCAAGCTTCTGTTTCTGGCGGCTCTAACCGCGGGTCATCCGGAGGATTGGGCGCAGGTCGTTTGACACCTGAACCACTGGGATTTGGATACCCGGAGCTTTGATGAGGGTTTTCGGCCACCTCCTGTTTGGCTAGTTCTTCACGTTCTTGTGTAGTCTTCAGCCTATTTCTGGCATACTCAGTCTCTTGAAGACGACCTACTCCGCGAAGTCTACAGTTCTCTGCGCGCAAGACTCCTTGACGATCTTCTCCGGCTCGAATCTTACCACAAGCTGGACAACCTGCAGAGTAACCAAACCTATCGAAATCGTCTTGACGAAGACTCGACGGTAGTGCGGCTTGTTCTCTGAGGTCTCGATCTTCTGAACTTCGACTTCTGGCAGTTCGACTTCAGGCAACTCTAAAGCTTCACGAGGTTCAACGCTTCTTCGACGGATTGGGTGCCCAAGGCGTACCCTGCATGCTTTCTAGGGCTCTGCACTCCACTGTTGGTCTTCGCGTTCGACGAATCGACTAAACAACAACTATACCTTTGCTTGTTCCTATGATCTTCTCGGTTGTGTGCAATCGAACCCCTAAGAAGAAAACACTTGATTCCCATCGAACTGCAAGTTTGCGCTGTGTTCGAACCCTATAATCTACATGCTCTCCAAACGAAGGAAGCGGGACTGTCCAATCTCGACCTCGAATTTTTGCGAATGGTGTCAAAGTGTCCTTTGCACGCTCACCATAAGAAACAACGTGTGCAAAACACCGACATGTTCAATGAGCCAACCCAAAAGTGGAGAGTTTGGGTCGATCTGTTTGCCAATGTTGCGCTCCATGTGATCTTTGAGAGTGCGACAAAGACCTTGTGTTTGACCAACTGTGACATATCAGCTTCACCGTTTGACATGCCATGTGAATCACCTTTGGGTGAATTCTCCAACTGACACTCGATGTTTTGTGAAGCAAAAGTGTTCTTGACTGCACTTGCCAATGCCAAAATGGTGGGCTCTTGGTCCGATTTCAGAATCAACTTTATGCAACCAAGAAACTGAATGCTTCGAACCAGTGCAGCTTCTGGGTAAAAATGCCCTGTGCCTTTGAAAGGATCTAAATGGATGAAAATGGCTTTTGTGAAACGATCACGCACGACCAAAACTGGCGTCTTCTGTCCACCAACTGCATCCTGGGGCAGTTCACCTGGTGCACCTAAGAAACCATAGTCGATGGAGACCACTGGCATTGTTGAGTTAAAAAGAGCGTCCACGACCTCGTACACAATGAGGACACCATGAACGAAAAGGTACGCGTGAAACATTGTGCGCGTGTACCATCTCAGGCGTCGGTCGATTTGGCTGCGCAAGTGGCCTCGCGGGAAGGGCATCATCCGCTGAAGCCTCCACTGCCACTTCGACCTCGCCTCCTGCCTCTTCGGCCAAGGCGTCACCAGTGGGTCTTACAGACCATTCTTATCCTGCCCTGGAAAAGGGTCCCATGCCCATGTGGGCAACTTCCAAACACCATTTCGCAAATAAATCTTGATCTTTGTGCCATTTTTTGAACTGGACGTATTCACTGGGATCCATGCCCATACTCAATGAGCTTTCCCACGCTCAGCAATGGTTTGCTGGTCTCAACCGGGCCATGACTTTCCCACAGCACAATACGACCATCTGCCATACAATACTCCTTATACCCTAATGCTGGTCCAACATCATGACTGTTGCTTGCGCCGGAATTTAACCAAAAAAATATCCATATGTGACCCACCTTTACTGCTCGGCCTCATTGAGAATCTCGACATTCTCAAGCGGCAACTCCACTTCAGCAGCCACCGGAAAGGGATTCTCCGATTCATCGGGGTCATCTCCCACGCGGCCACTTCGAGGATTCAAAGGACGCAGGCTGCGTGCCACCGCCTGGTGCTCGAGGTTCACTTGAGGGCGCTTCCTCTCTTCGATCTCCGCAGATCCAGCTGCAACATCTGTCTCCCAAGTCTCAGTGTCGTCTTGGGACTTCCTCTTTGGCTGGTCTTTCCAACCTCCTTGCCACTCGCCAATCCTTGAGCTTCTCCTTGGCATACTTGGACTCATAGGTCTCTTTGTACCAATCATGCTTCCAGTTGTTGTAGTCCTGATCTTGGGACCACCGTTGGCTTTTCGTGTTGCGGTTGTCATCGAATCACTTCACAGTACCGGTCTTCTTGGCCTCTTCTTCTTGAACCTGTTCAGGCTCCATTGGACTCTTGTCCACTGTCTTTCCCTTCTTCCAATTCTTCTTGTTCCACTTCTTCTTGGCCTTGTTGGCCTTCTTGCGCTTGGCTTCTGCAGGGCCAAGCTTGGTCTTTCGAGGCTTATCTCAAGATTTTCCTCTTCCTCTTCTGCCATGTGCCTCTTCTCACTCTTGGTGAGAGGCTTTCTCTCCATCTCTTTTGCCAAGTCGCCAGTCGCCAAAGGAAATGTCTGCCTCTTGGACGCCATGCCCTTGGGATCACTCTCTTCATCCCGGGCAACGCGCTGAAAAGCGCGTTCTTTGGTGCCTGCCAACCGATGCTTGGATGCACGCAGTCTTCCTCTTTCCTTTTGATAGGCGAATCTCTTCCCATGAACTTGGTCCATGGTCTGGCGAATTGACTTTTTGTCCTCACCTCTTCCAATTGATCTTTGAGCTTCTTCAAATCTGCTTTCTTCTCCTCCAGGGCTGCTTGAACTTTGACAGCGCCTGGGATGGGGACCAATGCTTCTTTGAAGCTGCGAACTTCAGTGGCTCGCTGGGAAATCAAGGTTTGAAGCATATCTGATTTGCCTCCAGGCTCCGGCAATGGTCTTGCTGAGCGACCAAATTCCCATGGATACTGCTTGGTCTTCAGCGGTTTTGGATCAACTGGCGCGGCCTTTACTGCAGGTGCCTCTTTTGGCGTCGCGGCTGCTAATGCAAGAGAAGACTGTGATGGAGCTCTTGACTTTGGAGAAGGCTGGAGGACAAGTTTGGCCTCCTTGGGACTTGCTTTGACCTTTGGTGAGGGGGCATCTCTTGCCTTTGGATCTCTGGCCTGCCTCCTCTTGGTAATGCTGCCTTGGGCGATGGCTTTCTCCAAGATCTTGGTGACCACCCACCACCACTGGATCCTTCGCCTCTGGATCCTCTTCTTCTTCACCTCCTTCTTCATCACCACATGACTCATAATACCTACCAGGCTTGGAGGGTCTTGGCCAGTCATCATCTTCTTCTTCTGCTTCTTGATGGCCTCTTCTGGATCTTCCTCCACATAGTTCTTCAAAGGGTCGAGGGCCAACCTTTTGCCTGAGTGTATCATCTGATGGTTTTGGTTGACCCCTTGAAACATACTCTGTAACATCAGATTCCCATCAATCCAATTGAGAACGAAGTGCCGTCAATGTCGATCTTGGGGGATTCAAAAACCTTCAAAGTAGTCGAATGTCTGTACATGGCATCAATGTCCGTGATGGTCGAATTGACGAGGTTGTCTGCGGTCACTGGGCCATCTCCTTTCCCGCGGGCAAAGTCCAAAGCTCCGGCTTTCCAATGCTTGCCAGCTTCCTCATGAGGTCCTTTGAGCTGCTCAGGTTCAACCACACCGGGTTTGCTCTTCAAGCTCTTGAGAGTTTCTGTGAGCGCAGGTGTCGGTGCTGCCTGCTCCCTTGCAATCTGAGCTTGCCCCAACTGAAGGTTCTGAAGAATCAGCCCAAGCATGTTTTCTGCTGCCGAGCCACCTCCTGCTCCTGTGGGTGGGCCACTTGGTGATGTTGGTTGTGCCATTGCCTCTACTGGTAGGGCAATTGGCGTGACAAGCGCTCAAGGAGTGAGCAAGGGTACTCTTGCAAGTACCTGCCAAGGAATCCAAAGATCCTCTGGAACTTCCTGACTCCAAACAATTTCCTCACCCAACGTGTCCACTGACGCTGGGCAGACGAGCGTGCTGTATCAGCACTTCCCGTTGCAGGTTCCATCAATTCAAACTCACTGTCGCTACCTGAGCCAGAACCAGGTAGCTCCCCTACCATGCAAAGAAAAATTGAGTGGATCTAACCACTCCAAATCAACTCAAGCGCAACGGGATTCCTTTCCTGCTCTGGGCTCTCAGTTCAGCTTCTGGGCTCCACTGATGGAGTCAAGTGAAAAGGTCCACATGCAGCAAGCTACCTTACAAGCTAGCAACTCTAGATGACTATACATCTCTACAACAAACATATGTATATATATATATATTTAAACAAAATGTATTTTTGTTGGATCTTGCTAGCATATTTAACTTCTCCCGTCCTTTGCCCTTTCGCCAGGGCACTCGGCCGGGCGACCCCGCTCGGAGACCACGACGGTGGGACGGTCTAGCAAACGGCGCTGTATGAGTTGCAGCGGTGGGGCCACCAAGTCATGGCTCAAAACCACATAGTCTCGCACGATCCTGGCAGGGCTGGCAGGGTCTTAGCATTATTTTGCCACAGCATGGCGCCTTATGATCAGAATGATCCGACTGGCCATTGGCCACAGGCCATGCTTGTATACCATTGTATACTCACCCACCCATTGCGCACGATCCACGAGTGAAACGCGCGAACGGCATCTGCGTCCCGCTGGGCGCAAGATGCATAAAAGGCCCCAAACTGTGCGCAGGTCAACGCACAAAACTATACACTCAAGATGGCAAAGCGGGAAAATGGAGCTTCCACGATTCGGAAGCCCGACCGGCACCGGCCTGCAGGGCGCACGCAAGCAAGTGTAGGCTATGATTCGACAAGTAAGCAGAGGCGCCTGTGATGGCACCTTGGCAAAGCACCTTTCCAACAGATTTCGCATGCCCCGGTTGCATGTCACCAGGAAAGGGCTGGCAACCATCAGTCTTGGCCAGCCACTGCAAACACTGACGAATCAATGTATAAACATCATGGATCAGCATTTCATCGTGGTCATCAAGTTGAAAACCCGACGCATGGAAATGAACCGCAAGTTCACAGAAGGCCGTGCTGTTACCCGGTTGCACCGTCCACCGCAGAGTACGGAGGAAATCGCAGACTGTATGCCAGTTGGAGGTTGATGAGCGCCAGCGTTTAGGCACTGGAATGGCATCGGGGATCTTGGGCTTCCATTTGTAAGTCCCAAGGTGCGAATTCCATGGCCACTTGGAGAATGATGCAATTGCAGCTGTCAATGAAACGCCTGAAGGTTGATGACTGTCACCACCCTGTGTGGGCTCCAGGTTAGGCTCACCAATTTGTTGCCTTGTATCAAGGTGGCAATGTAACCTCGTCAGCCATTCTTGATGCAGAAGTGTGGCAGGGGTCACAAGCCGCTGAACCTTCGGATCAACAGGTGCATGTAACAACGCTTGGCGTTTGGCTTCACGATCGGCCTGTCTGTTCCGGAGAATATGCCGTACGGTCGTGCCAAGGGCCTGAGCCGCTGATTCCGTGAGGTCAGTGTCCGAAACGTGCTCCAAACAATGAGAAGGTATCCAACAGACCTGAAGAGGATCACAGAAAATCTGCTTACGATGGTGCCAAAGTTTGTGTAACTGTGTCCACCAAGACAAACAAGCCCAGGTGGGCAAAATACCATCATGCTTTATCATGTGGGCAATGTTGTCAACAACAGATTGGCTGTCCGTGTATACGATAACAGGATTGCGGCTGGTTGCAAAGGCATTGCAAACTGCCCACAATTCGGCAGTGTAGCTGTTGAGCCGCAAAGCCTTCACCCGGCCAGAGGTTTTGACTGCGCCATCTGAATCGATAACTGCGAATGCTGCTGTGGTGATCCAGAAATGTGAAGTCCACATCACCGAGCCGTCGGTCCAGACCTCTTCCAAAATACTCTCCGGAGGGAAGTCATGTTCACACGGTGGCAAAGTCACGTCTTGGCAGAGCCTATGGCGAGCAACTTGAGATGGGTGTTCAAAAATTCCCAGCATGGAGAAGTTTGCACCAAACTCATGTAGCGTAGGTGTGGAGATCAGCCTATGCAGTGAGGTGCAGGCAAAGACCAAGTGAGCCATGGTTTCCTTAGCTTGGCCACAAAACCGACACATGTGATCTTCGACCCATCCTGAAGCACAAAGCCGGTCTTTGGTCAGAGTGCATCCAACCAGAACAGATTCGAAATGCATTGTTGCTGTAGGAAAAGTCGGGGTGGCAAAAGTCGGCTTACGCAAGAAGGCGGTGCTCAAAGTCACATCAACAAGACCACTAGGTTTGCAGACGTCTTTACGTTTCTTGTGTTGGACCGCAAAATACTGTGCTTGCAGTGCGATGGCTTGAAGCACCTTAGCAAAATCTCTTGGGCCACATGAGCCTAATATGATCTTATCCGCACCCTGAAATTGCAAGGAAAAATCATCAAGCAAGGACAGGTGCAAAATATCACACGCCCTCTGGAGTGCCGCAACAAGAGAGTTTTTGGCCGTCCGTTGATTCTTGTCAATAAGCTTAAGCTTGTCAATCGTGTCCGGGTGATCAAAACAATATCTGAAAATATCCAAGACACAATTATACGCTTGTGCAATGAAAGGATCAATGCGATGCGGCTTACCAAAGAATGTAAGGACAAGGTGTTTGGCACGAATCTTTGGCCTCCCTCGCCAAAGGGCTCTAGTTACACCATTTTGGACCTTTTGAAGAGCGGCTTTCGGAGTTCGTGAGATGTGGGCTCCATACGTAAGTTTGGGGATGGCCTTAGCCCCGATCAAGTGAGCACGAATGTTGACTGGAAGGGGAAGGGCTCCAATACAGTCAACCGCTTGGCAGACATGTTCAAGGGTCTTGGTTTCGAAATGGAAATCATCCTTGTTAGAAGTATAAATCCTCGTGCCTAAGGCATCAAAGACGAATTCTAACTTCATGTCAGGACATGCATGGGCAACAGCATGGCGAGCTACACGGGATGTTCCCCAAACAGTGGACTTCGCTGCATTTAGCCTCTGCCCAACAAGTTCATCCCAGAGGCTAGTGATCTGTAGCGCGGTAGACAAATCTGCAAGATGCTGGATCTTACACCAGAGATAGGCGTCATCGACATAGGCTCGCATGGACAGAGTCGGGAGGGTCTCGAGTAGATGAACCCACACCTTGGTATGCACATTTACCGCAACTAGTGAGAGTGAGCAGCCCTGTACTACCCCATTGGCTGCTGTAGTGGCCGTGGGGCTGATCCACCCCTTGTAGGCAATGTGTCTCTTAAGACCTTTATAGATTCTAACGAAGAAGCTAACAAGGGTCTTTGGTAGACCAAAGGCAAGGAACAAGGCAGCAGTACACTCGGGGATCAGGCGGTCAAAGCATTTGGCTTTATCTAGCTTAATGCCTACCAGGTCTTGTCGTGAGGCTCTAGCTACATCAATCTCTAGTCTAAGAGCTGTATGCAGGGAGGGCATAGTGCGCCCTTTGACACCACCGATGATGCAGCTGGGCATCGTTGCGATCTGCCACGCCTGTAGCTGCTCAAATCGTGCACCCGTGTACGAGAGCAGCAATGCAGGTAGGATCGTGATCAAGCGCTTATTCATGGCGCTGGCCGCCCCAGGCTTGTTAAGTATAATTTGTTTAGCACGTGTGAGGGCTTCCGGCAAATCAAGCTGGGGGTGGTGTTCAATCCATCGAAAAAATCTTGCAATCGGAATGAAACATTGCGGTGGCAACGCCTGAAGTTCACAGGTCCTCCAGCCGTCGAGGCCTGGGGCCGCCTCTGTTTTGCGTCTTTGAACTGTTTTATACAAGGCTTCGGCATCAATCTGAGGGAGATTAGCTTGATGAACTTTATCTTGAATGTAAGGCCAAACTGTGTGAAGCATTTTGATCGGATGATCAAACCCAACATTAGCACCATAAACGTCATCCCACTTATTATTCAAATGCTGAAGGGCAGCGTCAGGCTGGTAAAGGATGTTCCCATGATCATCCTCGACCAAGTTGGCTGGTTCATCAAGAAGTTTGTTCTTGAGATGCCTGAAGATGTAGTTACAGCCATGTTTGGCTGAGGTCTGGATCCGATGTTTCCAGGATTGAATTCTAGCATTTTTCACTTGCGTCATGTGGTTTTGGATTTCCTGGAGCACCCATGATTTTGCAACCTGGATATGAACCAGGGTGACTTGGTCAACTCTCGGCCAAAGCAGCGGGGCGTGTAAAACATGCAGCGAACGGAAGACCTTAGCCGACGTGACTCGAAAGACATGCCGGTCTTGATCTGATTTATAGCCCCTGGTTCTACGGACCAAAAGCTCATCAAGACGATTCTGAAGCTTGAAGAGACTAGCACTTTTACGAGTAGCGGCACAGTGGTTCCGATGCTGTGGAGGGCAAATTTGCTTGGGACAAAAGCGAGCAGGTTTGGCTCTTTCATGTGGACCTTCTCCCCACGTGGCCCCCGATTGGAGGAGCGATTCCACACAGAACTTATTGACAACATCCCACTTGAGTTCCGGGTCAGGGGCGTTTTGGAACTGATTCTCCCAAACATCGGACCATTCATCAAGGCCAGGAGGCCTATCGTTGTGCGGTTGCATAGCCCACTTAGGATCCCAGTGGTTTTTGGGGATGTTGGTCACATCAAGTGGGGCCGTCTTGTAGAGGGTATACCCAACCACTTCCAGTGACGGCCAAAAGAAGCAACACTCAATGGGTCTGTGCTGTCGGCCAAAGGATTCAATGACCTTGCAAGATTCCAAGGCAAAATACGCACATTGGTTAAGGAGGATCCCATCGATCGACGAGGAGCCCTCTCCTAATCCGGCAAAGAGCCCATCATTAGAGAAGGTAACAGGACGACAGGACTGCCCTGTGTCATCAAGACAGTGCAAGGGGTCGTACCAATTGTGCATGTGAACAGCATTGGAAACGGCAGGGTATGAAAGCGGTAGGGCCTGAAAATCCCCCGCGACAATCACAGGAATTGAACCAAACTGTGCAGTCAGCTCAAAAAGGTTCTGAAAGAGCCGGTCGTTGCTTTCGTGAATGGCCGCATCATTTGAGGCCCCCGTGGTCGCATAGACCGAGACAACAAGAGCACGTCTCTTAGGACTTATTTGGATCCAGGCAATGACAATACGCTTGGTGTCAAACAGGGATTGGAAGAGGCCCGTGTGGTCATCCTGGGCAACAAAAGGTTTTATAAAGTCTTTGGAGGCAAGTACACCAGTACCACCACAAGGGGTGTGGATGCGACCAACCTTGTGCAAAAGACCCGGCAGGATGTGCCCCAGAACAGCCTGGTATCCGGCATCACGAATTGCATGCGTGGCCGATTTCAAGTTATTCTTTCCGATTCTCGTTTCTTGCAGGCAAAGGATGTCACAGCCCCAAGACTTCCAATCATGATTAGTCTGAACAGAACCAATGTTGGCTGTCCTCAGGATCATATTACCCACGGGTCCTTCCCCAGGGTACCCACATGTGGCATCGAAGGTGCCAGTGC